GGCTCGTGACCCTAACTACAATAAAAAAATACTAGACAAGCATAATCATGGCTAAAAATAATCCAATATTCAAAAGCATAAAATTAAGGAGAAAGGAGAAGAAGAACTTGATCCCAGGAATCCTCTCTGAGCACCGCCGTCGTCTCTCTTCAGAAGAATAGGTCTGAATACCTAATTCTGTCATGGGGATCCTATTTATAATCCTCTTTTCCTTCTTCCAAAAATACCCTTCGAACAGCACGGTCAAATTTCTCGCAAACCGACGCCAGTGGGTGCCGGTACAACGCCACTTCGCGCGGAGCTTCTGTCTCAAATTGAAAAACCGGAACCGATTGTACGTAAGCGCCATCCTCCTTGCTTTTTGGGCGCCACTTGGCGCCAATTTTCCTTCACTTTGGGCGCCTAGTGGCTCCAAGATTTCCTCCAATTTGGGCGATGAATGTGGCGCCAGTTGGTGCCACTTTGGTGCCACTGAGCGCAACTCAAAATTGATCGGTGTGGAGTTCGCAATCCGGCGCCATTCTGCTGCCATTTGTACTGTGATACATTCCGTGTGTAATTGCATTAAGAGTATTTTTATAATTTGTAATTTTCACTCCTCTTTTTCCTGTAAAAATACAACCAAAAGGTGAATATTATTGACATAGAAAGAATCAATATAAATAGCAAATATTTATTTAAATTGCTCTCTTATGACTCAATTCTTATCAATTTTAACACAGAAAAACCACACTTGTCAGAGGCACATCAGCGATGCTTGAGTACTTCAAGAGAATCTTCTATTATGGCTTGCAATTGTGCTGAACTTTGTTGTCTTCGAAGATGCGTCTTGTTATTGAGGAAGGTCTCTTCAAATGTTGTTGAAGTAGTAATAATTCAATTGTAAGAAAAAGCTGGCGAGCCCATGTTGAATCAAGTATCCTGTAGATTTTAACAGCTGAAATAAGAATGTCTTGATGATCTGATAAAATAGAGTCGACGGGATTGCAGATCCGAGCTTCTGCAGAGGATAATGTGTTCCAAATTAGAGAGTGATGGAGATTCTCGCGATAAATATATATATTCCCTTCTTCAACAATAAAACTCGTTGGTGATATGAAATTATGATAAATAACGCCCATGTGAAATCAAGCAGCCTGGAGATTTTAACAGCTGAAATAAAGAATGTCTTGATGATATGATAAAATAGAGTCGACGAGATTGCAGATCTGAGCTTCTGGGGAGGATAATGTGTTCCAAATTAGAGATGTGATGAAGATCCTGATGATAAATATATATATATGCTCCTCTCTTCAGAAATAAAACTTGCTAGTGACAAATAATGTTGTAGATAAAAGCTTCTGGAGAGAATAATGCGTTCCAAGAGAGAAAAAGACTGGTAGTCTTCATAGATGATAGATATGTATATTCCTTTCTTCGACAATAAAACACGTTGGTGATATGAGTGTGTGATAAACAATGCTCAGTGACTTGGATCTTTGATGTTTGGTTGCTCCGATTTATATGTTGCTCTATGATCATGACCTGCAATAGCTAAAATAATAGCATTTAAATATTCTTAAAAATGTCGGCCATCTAGGACTTTGGCCGAGAGGTAGTACATCTCGGACTTTGTTTTTCGAGGGGTAGCACATCTCGGACTTTGTTTGTTGAGGGGTAGCACATCCCGGATTTTGTTTGTCGAGGGGTAGCACATCCCGGACTTTGTTTGCCGAGGGCTAGCACATCCCAGACTTTATTTACCGGGGGTGAGAACCGTCCCGACCTTCACAATCAATTACCAGAGTTGAGAACCATCCCGACCTTCATAATTAATTACCGAGGGTGAGAACCATCCCGGCCTTCACAATTAATTACCTAGGATGAGAACCATCCCGGCCTTCATAATTAATAAGCAACTCATATGAAATTTATAATCATGTTGTTGGAGAGAGACATATATATATGCTAGTGAATAGATATTATTGCTAGATGTTGATAATAAATCCTGATAGTGCCAATCTCGCTGGATACTTTGATGTGTAGATGTTGAATGGCAATTTGTGACTTGACCGCCTTAAGTGATTGTGAATTTTGCTTTTTTGCTCGGGTGTTCTCTCTTCGGACCAACAAGCTACTTTGTACTCCTTTGATTTGCATGTGATTCCTACCATTTTCATCCGAGCACTTGAAAATGACCTTCGAATTGAAACCGGCGTCACATTCTAAGAGAAAATATTGATATCTTCTATGACTCGTCATTTTGTTTGGCTGCACGATCTTCGAAGCAAAAATTCCATGGCTCCAATTTGATGAAACGTTAGTTGAAATGTAAATGATCTTTAATGGCACACTTCTCGAGGCATGTTGCTCTGAATTGGTCTTGTAAATATTGGATAGCTTTTAGTTTGTTGATGAATGTTGTCCTTCCTAATGGCGAGATGAAAAGTTGGTCTCTCTGTTGGGCGGGATGAGAGCTTGGTCTCTATGTTGGGAGAGCTGAAATGTTGGTCTTCCTGTTGGGCGTGATAAAATGCTGGCCTCCCTGTTGGGCGGGATGAAAACTTGTCTCCATGTTGGGCGTGATGAAACACTTGTCTTCCTGTTGGACGTGATGAAATGCTGGCCTCCCTGTTGGGCGTGATGAAATGCTTGGTCTCCATGTTGGGCGTGATGAAATGTTGGCCTCCCTGTTGGGCGTGATGAAATGCTGGCCTCCCTGTTGGGAGGGATGAAATGCTGGGTCTCCATGTTGGGCGTGATAAAATGCTTGGTCACCATGTTGGGCGGGATGAAATGCTTAGTCGCCAGGGGGGCTCCTGTTAGGCGAGATGGAGGACTGGCCTCCGTGTTGGGAGGGTGCAGCGGCTGGCTTCCCGTAGGACGACTTCATGTTCACGTGGGTGGCTAGAAATATACCTGTATTAGGAGACCGGAAGGAGGAAGAGTGGTCTGCATGCGATTGGGATCGAAACTATAGGTTGTTTCTCTGACCTGTGAGTGGTTGTGGTTGGCGACCGACAATATTGGTGACCAGTAGAAGGGATATCTTAGAGAGGGGTCTCGCTAAGTTTGTAAACCGCTTGGATTTGAATTGTGGAGAGAGGGATGCCCGGTCTTCCTGGTCAGTTGAAGCAGATCATTGGGCGGTTGAAAAAGAGTGCTGGGCGGTTGGTCTGCACCGGTCTTCCGTGTAGTTGGGCGGACCTCTTTTCTGATAAGTTGAGCGATTTGCGCTATTTGACATATTGGGCGATAGGACTTTGTGGTGGGCGGTGGTTTCTTTGAGTCTTTTTTGGGCGGGGTCTCTGGGCGGTTGCCAGACCTGGGTTTGGAGCTGATGTCCAAATGAGGTGTACTTTGATCGGTAGAGGATGGAATTGGCATTTTGGTTTGACTATTTCTTCTTGTTGGTGCTTGTTGTGTGGTGATTCTTGGTTTTGGTCATCAAGATGGAGTTCAGGTTGGTGTGAACGCCAAACAAGACACGTGAACGCCGAAGGGGGTATGCTAACGCCAAAAAGGGGAGATGAACTTCGAATATCTGGAGTGAATACGTTCGTGTTCTCCTATACTTATGAAAGAGAGACTTTATATGAATGTCGTTTCCTTCGTTCTTTGTAGACCCGGAGTCTTCGGGTTCTTTTCTACTTTTCTGGTCTTCTTTATCTGTTTGCAGATCTGGCACGGTTCTGGGTTGTGAAAATAGGAAAAAATGAGAGTTCTTAGAACTTCCAGTAAAGAAATGGGAATTGAAATTTGTCGTTTCCCACACAGACGACGCCAATGTACTGTTGGTGTACATAAGATGTGTCCCACGGAGGGTGAAGTATGTTGATATAGGGGGTGTCCATAGTGGTCTTGGTAGAGATCAAGCCACTAGTGAAGCTTTCCATGGATATGCTCAAAGGGGAGAGTGTGTGTGTGAGAGCTCTCTAGGAGAAGAGTAGGGAAGAAGGTCCCCTCTCCATGTGTGTGAGGGGTATTAAGAGAGGAGGGTCTTCTCTTGCATGGAGAGCTTGAGCATGAGCTGTCTCATCAAGCTGCCTACTGTCAGTGTACAAGGCAGCAGTGCGGGATGGGGAATGACTCAGTAGTGAGTCTCTATGGCTTGCCATGAGTACCCTCTAAAAGAAGGTTCTAGGCTGTGGACTTTGAGAGGTTAGACCCATCTGATGGGCCTAATGTATTTCCTCACCATTCACCAATAGTATCATTTCAAGCAAGACGCGTGGTTATCGGGCTTGACCAAATCGAAAAGTGTCTCTGTAAAGAGCCAGCCACAAAGTCTAAAGTCATTATTTGCACGCGTTTTCTGTGTCGGTCACTTTATCGGTTTCACAATTCACATTACAGAGTTGGCCTAATAAATAAAGGCATCAAGTGTACGGATTGTGACAAAGCACTCTGCTTGAATTTAACTTGGGAATAGTTCGGAAGATATTACCATCATATTGAGGCCATCTTCGGAGATTTGATTGTGTTGTGATGAGAAGGAGACTTGATCGTATGTTAGGAGTCACAATTATCACACAGGCACAAAAGGAAATATTTCGTGGATCTATATGTGAAACTAAGAATTATGATGATCCATTGCATTTCTAATTTTAAAATTAATGAAATAGATAAAGTTAAGTATATTTTTTTTTCTAATTTTAATAATGATGTACTGAATCTTTAATTTTATTAAAATATCTTAAATACTCGTGTTATACGGAAAACTCGTGACATCAATGCTAAAAATAGAAAGAAAAAAAAAATACCATTTATAATTACTGAAATTTGAGTTCTATGTTTTAATATTTTCAATAAAGGAGTAGCTACTTTTATTGTATTAATGAAAGTGGATCGAAGCCCCACATCGTAAGATTCCACTTTGAATTTTTAAGTAAAAGGTAGGACCACGTGCCTACACTGTTATGTTTTCCCTCCTTGGATTCCACTTGTAGGGTTCTAGTGCACAAAAAATAATATAAAAATGTAGTAGCTTTATTGAGTTCTGGAAATTTCTTGGCACTACCCTGTGTTCCAAAACTTATCATGAACTCCAATTCCTACCAAATGAAAAGGAAGCCTTTCTTCTTTCTCCTGCTGGAATTTCAATACTTGTGATGCACAGAGGTAAGATTTTCATTATTTTTGTTGGTTTGGATTTGGATTTTGGATTATTGTTTTTAGGATTTTAGGCTGGGAAGATACTTCTCCATTATGTTGTCTTTGGTTATTTTCCTATCAGCATGTTTCTTAAGGCATGAACGTTTGTACAAAAGAAAATTTTGTAAGAACCTCAATTCAATTTAAACGAGCTAGGGAACTGTTGTTTTCTATAACACTAAGAAATTCAGTTTTGCACTTCCTAACTATTTTTGCAAATGAAAAAAATAAGAAAAAGAGAGTAACATTGGGAAGTCAATTAAAAAAGAAATAAAAAGATTATAATTTATAAAGAGTTCTTGGAAATAAAAAATTTTCATCTTGATTTTAAAGAATTAAATATGTAGAATGTATTTATCATTCTAAAAAACTAACGTACCTAATGCATAATAACTAATAAGGTAATTATTGTATTAATAGAAATTAATGTGTTCACCGTGAATTTTCACAAATATAAATTTGGAAATTTACTCAAAAATAAACCAAAATCTTGACATTAAGAAATCAGTCCTGTAAAAATTGACTTCTTTACAACTGTGACATAAATATCAGTTGAAAAGAGCATTATTATTAAAATAAAAAAAGCCCCCATTGCTTTCATCTTTTTTCTTTTTATCCTTAGTAAAACATTGTGTATTTTTTTTATACCGAGTTTAATTATCTCTTTTGAGACGAGTCGCCTTCAGTATTAGTCTCGAGTCGGAACTTAGTCACAGTTAAAACTCCTCACTCTTCACAAAGATATATTTGGTGAAAATGGAACTAGGGTCTCCCCTTATCTACTCATCATTATGTATTCTATTTCTTGCCACACTACAAAAACACAAGTGCATTATTATAAACTTGTGTTTTATTTCTCTACCTGTCTTTGCATTGCATCCCTTTAATAAAGTTATTTGTTGCACGTCCAGATCATTTTTAGAGAGCAAAATCAGAGTATATGTCTAGAAGTTTTGGGTGATGCAAGCCAAACAACATGTATTTGAAGTAAAATCACCAGTAACCAACTTTCCAACGATTTCAACTTGACCAAGATAGGAAGAGCTTTTTCTGATCTCCATTAACAGGAAAAACAGCCATCCCACAAGTAAGGAGATTGTGATTTCAAATAGATTATACACCCAAGGTATACCTCTTCCTCACATTTTATTTTATTTTTTGGTTTTATTTTGTTTTTGTTCTGTTCTTCTTGATTTATAATCCATAATTTGGTTGGTAAACTCAAACGGTATCATCTATCCAGCTCTGGTTAAATTTGAGTCACATCAGTTACAAATTTAGTTTCTGGGAGATGCATCAATCACAGATCCATTGACTTATAATTGAAGTCAAAACATAACTGGACTTGTTTGCTTGTTGGTGTTCAGATGGCTTCTTCCTCATCTATTGGTGCTCCTCAAGCAAAGCATGATGTTTTTCTCAGCTTTAGAGGGGAAGATACTCGTTGCACTTTTACAAGCCATCTCTATGCTGCCTTGCGTAGATGTAAAATCGCTACTTTCATTGACGATGAGGAAATTAAGAGAGGGGATAAAATATCACCAACACTTCTTTCAGCAATTGAGAGCTCAAAGATTTCCATAACAATTTTCTCAGAGAATTATGCTTCTTCTACATGGTGTTTGGATGAACTCGAGAGAATCATTGAATGCAAGGAGAAAAAACAACTTGTTGTAATACCTGTTTTTTATCACATCGATCCATCACATGTAAGACACCAGAGGGGAACTTATGAAGTTGCATTTACAAAACATGAGGAACATTTTAGGGACAATCCAATCAAGGTACAGAATTGGAGAACTGCTCTGCATGAAGCAGCCAACTCAGCAGGATGGGATTCCTCAAATATTAGGTGAATAATACACGCACACACACTAAGGCTAATGAAGTTTTCATTTTTGATATTTAATTGAAATTTTCAAGAAGTCCATATAGTCTTGAATTTGTGCAGCTGGTATTATGATATAAGTTAGTTAAGGCATAGGAGGAGGGTAAGAAGAATTTGGTTAAGGGTAGTAGGGCAGTGGTACTGAGCATGAGTGTCTCAGTCACTGCATCAGGAATAATGTGAGTCTCTTCCTCAATCGAGTAGCCAAGAGAGGGAGAAGTCTTAATTAGAGTCAGTAGTTCTTAATTCAGTGTAATTGTGGATCTGATTCTTGCTTGATATTGAACTTGTCTTAATAGCATTATTCCATTCAAATACATTGTCTCTGTTGTGATCTTTTTACTGGAAAATTGTCTGCTGTGTTTCATTTACTTTCTTGGAGAATTCTGGTGCCAACATTTTGGTATCAAAGCTCTTACGGTCTTTGGGAGAGCTGCATGGTCAGAACAAGAATGGATAATCGAGTAGAAGAGGTGGAGAGAAGGACGGACAGAGTGGAAGAACACCTGGGAGAAGTCCGGTTAGAGGTGCGTCAGATGAGGGAGGCATTGACCGATTTTCTAAATCGAATGGAGACTGGAGGAAGGGGACTGGGGCGTGGAAATGGTGGAACAGAAACAGGGAGTCCTAATGGGGACCATGGAAGAGGACTGGCTGGGAGAGATGAAGGGAGGATGCGTCGTGTTGAGGTCCTTTACTTTTCTGGAGAAGATCCTTACGGGTGGATATTTCGTGCGGAGCGGTATTTTCGTGTGAACCGAATCCCACCAGAGGAGCAGGTGGAAACCGCTTCAATTTGCTTGGAGAAGGAGGCTCTTAGTTGGTTTCAGTGGTGGGAACCAAGGAATCCGTTGACGGACTAGTCGGTGTTTCGGATGGCGGTGTTGCAACGATTTCACGTTTCATTGTCAGGGAATCCATATGAAGCATTAATGGAATTGCGGCAAGCTGGCACGGTGGCGGAATTTCGCAAACAATTTGAAGTGTTGTCCGCTCCGTTGAGACAAGCAGATGAAGAGATGATGCAGGCCGCGTTCTTGACCGAATTGCAACCAGAGATTAGAGCGGAGATACGATTGCACTCGCCGGAGGATTTGGAAGGGATGATGGTTATGGCTCAATGCGTGGAGACAGGGATGCAGTGGTAGGGAGACATTATCCTGGTTTGGGCCGTGGGGGGCAAAGGCCCAATCATCAAAACAATGCATGGGGGAAGCCTGCGTTGTTCAACAGAGGTGGTACGGGTGGGTCCAGGGGAGTAAGTCATGGGCCAGCTGCATCAGCCCAACACACCCAATCCACGAGTTCCCTCTCACAAGCGTCCGTAGCCAGCAATACCCAAACGAACCCTAATCGATTTAGGGGTGGGACACCTGAGACAGGGGGTTCATCTCAAACAGGAACCGAGGGTCGAAGTGGGAACCGTTACCGTCGTTTGTCGCCGGAGGAGGTCGCGGATCATCGGCGACGTAATCTTTGTTTTCGCTGTGATGGGCCCTTTGGTCCAGGGCATGTTTGTCCAAACCCTAATCTATGGGTCATGGTGCTTCATGAGAACGAGGAAGAACCACCTGACGCTGACGTAGTGGTGGCCGAGGGGGAAGGTGAGTTGGAAGAAATCCTCCAATTAAATGTCCAAAGTGTAGTGGGACTCACCTCAAATCGCTCACTGAAATTGTAGGGGACGGTGAATGACCAAGCGGTGGTGGTGCTCATTGACACAGGTGCTTCCAATAATTTCATTGGAGACAGCACGTTGGACTGATTGGGACTTCCGTTCGACAGTTCCAAGTCTTTACGCGTGGAAGTAGGTGATGGAACCCACGTCCAGGGTAAAGGAATGTGCAGGGAAGTGAAATTGTTGTTACCTGGGCTGTCGTTAACACAAGACTTCTACGTATTCCATCTCAACGACGTGGATGTGGTACTGGGGTACTCTTGGTTGGAGGAATTGGGGAATATACCAGCTAACTTCCGGGAAAGGATCCTTTGGATTCCATGGCAAGGGAAGGTGGTGACGTTGCAAGGGGATCCGAATTTGGCACGCAGCAAGCTATCTTATAAGGGTATGACCCGTTCATGGATAAAGAAGGAAGAGGGTTACTATGTGGAGTTGGGATATTGTGCTATGGAGGTCCACAGTGATCAAGAAATGACTCCATTGATGACAGATCTGCTCCAACAATATAAGGATGTTTTTCAACCTCCAATGGGATTGCCACCATCTCGAGACTGTGATCATAAAATCTTGCTGAAACCGGATGCTACCATTCCAAACATTCGCCCATATCGATATCCTCACTACCAGAAGGAGGAGATAAAGAATTTTGTGAAGGATATGATGGCAGTAGGAATGATCAGACCCAGTTGCAGCCCATACTCCAGTCCGCTGATCCTCGTCAAGAAGAAAGATGGCAGCTGGCGTTTCTGCATCGATTACAGGGCTTTGAACAAGGTAACCATCCCTGATAAGTTTCTGCTTCCCGTAATTGATGAACTTCTGGACGAGTTAAATGGAGCTGGGAGTTTTCAAAATTAGACTTGAAGTCAGGCTACAATTAGATTCGAATGATAGAGGTGGACATTGAAAAAACAACATTTCGTACTCATGAGGGACATTACGAATATCTCGTGATGCCCTTTGGTTCGTAACCTCTACCTTCCAATCCTTGATGAACACGGTTTTCAAACCGTAATTCGTCTTGGTTTTCTTCGACGATATGTCACAGTGAAGAACAACATAGGGAACATTTGCAAAAGGTGCTGGAGATTCTGCGACAGAATCAATTTTCATCGAATGAAAAAAAGTGCACTTTTGCTCGGAAGGAATTGGAGTACTTGGGACACTTGACATCTCTCAAGAAGGCGTGAAGGCTGACCCACAGAAGCTAGAAGCTATCAATCAGTGGCCAGTTCCCAAAAATTTAAAAGGACTCGAGGGTTTTTTGGGATTAACTGGATACTACTGCCGCTTTGTCAAACAGTATGGACAGCTTGCTAAGCCCCTCACACAATTATTAAAAAAAGACAGCTTTGTGTGGGGAGAGGAGGCACAACTTTCCTTCAAGGTTCTAAAAAAGGAGATGATGCTATTACCTATCCTGGCTTTACCTGATTTCAACACCCTATTTGTGGTAGAGACGGATGCTTCGGGAGTGGGCATGGGGGCCGTGTTGATGCAAGAAAGTCGTCCCATTGCTTTCCTGAGTAAGGCTTTTTCTGAGCGAGATAGGCTACTGTCAGTCTATGGGAGAGAGTTGAAGGCCATTGTGTTCGCTGTTCAAAAATGGCGTCATTACTTATTAGGACGCCATTTTCTCATTAGAACAGATCAGAGAAGTCTGAAATACTTGACTGAGCAGAGGCTTATGGTAGAAGGACAACAAAAGTGGGTTGCAAAGCTCATGGGTTTTGATTTCGAGATTCAATACAAACCCAGATCAGAAAACGCAGCGGCTGATGCATTGTCACGCGTCATGGATTGTAGGCAGCTCTCGTTAATTACCAGTCCCAACTTGCAAATGTTGTCCGAGGAAATCATGTTGGATCCTTCTACGAAGACAATATTTACAGACGTGTTGCTGGATGCTCAATGAAAGTGCAGGCGGACAAAGGAAGACAAGAGGAGGAGTTTACAATTGGAGATAAGGTCTTTTTGAAGATTCAGCCATATAAGTTGAGATCACTGGCTAACCGTGTCAACCAAAAACTCAGTCCAAGATACTATGGCCCATTTAATATACTGGAACGGGTGGGGCCAGTTGCCTACAAGTTAGAGCTTCCTTCATATTCAAAGGTACACCTTGTTTTTCATGTGTCACAATTAAAAAGAGCTGTTCATCCATCACTGACTACTTTGGATCTGCCACGTTGCTTGTTGGATTCTTTGGAGCTGCAAGTGCAGCCAGCGGAAGTTCTCCATACTCGTCAGACATTGGATGGTCAATGGGAGGTTTTGGTCCGTTGGGAAGAACTGCCGGATTGTGACTGTACATGGGAGGGTTTGGCAGATTTTCAATCTCAATTTCCTTCCTTTCACCTTGAGGACAAGGTGAATTTTGAAGGGGGGTGTTGATGGACTTGTTAGATTGGATGGGCCTATGGTGGAGGGAACTAAGGTGGTTGGTCCTGTTGTTAATGGGCCTGGACCGAATGCTGAGGGAATGGCGGGGTTGGAAGCTCCTCACAGGTTCTTTGATAAAGTTCCAAAGCGCAAGTCAGTTCGAAAAGCCCAAAGAAGGAAAGCACTAGACAATTTGAAGTTAGTTAGGATGATAGACACGTGGAAGGCTGCACATGGGGAGGGCAACGTGGAGTGAGGGAAGAGAGGATCAAGATATAAGTTAGTTAAGGCATAGGAGGAGGGTAAGAAGAATTTGGTTAAGGGTAGTAGGGCAGTGGTACTGAGCATGAGTGTCTCAGTCACTGCATCAGGAATAATGTGAGTCTCTTCCTCAATCGGGTAGCCAAGAGAGGGAGAAGTTTTAATTAGAGTCGGTAGTTCTTAATTCAGTGTAATTGTGGATCTGATTCTTGCTTGATATTGAACTTGTCTTAATAGCATTATTCCATTCAAATACATTGTCTCTGTTGTGATCCTTTTACTGGAAAATTGTCTGCTGTGTTTCATTTACTTTCTTGGAGAATTCTGGTGCCAACATCAACTGTCTATTAATTTGGCAATTTTCTCTTTTTCATCTAGGTTGGAGGCTGAACTGGTTGAAAAAATTGTTGAAGATATATTACAAAAGTTGAATCGCATGAGCCCACATGTTCCAAAGGGGCTTGTTGGAGTTACTGCACACATTGGACATGTGGAATCATTGTTATGCACAGGGTCCTCTGGCTTACGTATTATTGGAATTTGGGGCATGGGGGGTATAGGTAAGACAACCATTGCAGATGCTCTATGTGCAAAACTCTCTTCTCAATATGAGGGATGCTACTTTGTCAATGTGAGAGAAGAACGGAAAAATCATAGAGAAAATGATTTTCGGAGTAAACTTCTGACTGGAATATTAGGGGACCCAAATTTGTATATTAGCACTCCTACTATGAGTTCCACTTTTGTTAAAGAAAGGCTCCAACGTAAAAATGTCCTCATCGTTCTTGATGATGTCAGTGATTCAAAACAAATAGAATATCTTGTTGGAGAGAAAGATTGGTTAGGACCTGGTAGTAGAATCATAGTGACCACTAGAAGTAAAGATGTGTTTAACAGGGGAGTTGATGGAGTATACCAAATGATGGAGTTGAATTCTGATGAAGCGTTAAAGCTTTTTTGCTTGAATGCCTTTCAACAAGACCATCCAACGAGGGAATATAGACACTTGTCAGAAAGGGCAGTAAATTATGCTAAGGGCATTCCATTAGCACTAAAAGTTTTGGGTTCATTACTTCATTCCAAACCACCAAGAGAATGGGAACGTGTGTTGGATAAACTCAAGAAAATTCCCCGAGCAGAAATTTATGGTGTGCTAGGATTGAGTTATGAAGGATTAGACCACGAAGAGCAGAATATATTTTTAGATATTGCATGTTGTTTCAAAGGAGAGACAAAATGCCGTATAACAAGTATATTAGATGGCTGTGGCTTTTCTACAGATGTTGGGATCAGATGCCTTCAAGATAAATCTCTTATAACTGTGTCTAAAGACAACAAGGTACAGATGCATGATTTGATACAAGAAATGGGTTGGCAAATCGTCCGTGAAGAATCTCTGAAAGAACCTGGAAAGCGAAGTCGATTGTGGGATCCTAAAGAAATTTTTGATGTCCTCAAGAATAACAGGGTAGGGATTAAATTGCCTTATTCACATTTCTAACTGTGGAACACCTTATTACAATAATCTGCCCATTATCATGTTATTACGTTCTGAATTTGTTTGTTACTTTTGTTTGCCAGGGTACTGAGTCCATTGAAAGCATAGTGTTGGACATGTCTCTAATCAAACATGTCACCTTAAACCCTCAAACTTTTCACAGAATGCACAAGCAAAGGATTTTAAAGTTTTATATGCCCTCATTCGATGAGAGAAGCAAAGTGCATATTTCCAGAGGTCTTGAATGTATGCCTGATGAATTAACTTATCTCCGATGGGACTGTTTTCCATTGAAATCCTTGCCACCATCGTTTTGTGCAGAGAAGCTTGTTGAACTTGATCTAAAACATAGCCTCATTGAAAAACTTTGGGACGGAATGCAGGTATCTTATAGAAACTCTTTGACTTAATATATATAAATGATTAAAAGTCCGCAACTTGTCAAATAAGTTTAGCTTTCTTATTCCTCAGGATCTTTTGAATTTGAAGTCATTATATCTAAGTGATTGCAAGCATCTGATTGAGCTCCCAGATTTCTCTATGGCTTTAAAACTTGAAGAAGTACATCTTGATGGTTGTACAAGTTTGATGAAAGTTCCTTCATCCATTTTGTCACTTGATAGTCTGTTTGCACTAAATCTGAGAGGCTGTAAACAACTTTGCTACATTCAAAGTGAGAAGCAATCTAGATCTCTTCAATGGCTTACTCTCAGTGGGTGCTCGAGACTTGAAAAATTTTCAGTCTCTTCAGAGAAATTGAAATACATGGTCTTAGATGCAACAGCAATTGAAAAATTGCCTCCAATATTTGACACCTCATTGTCAATCACAAAACTCTTTCTGGATAATTGTTCAAATTTATCAGAACTCCCTGACAACCTTGGCCTGTTATCAACGTTAAATAAACTTTCGTTAAGAGGAAGCAATATTGAGAACTTACCTGATACCATAAAAAATCTTTCTCAGTTGAGAGATCTCAATGTAAGCAATTGCAGGAGGCTTCGTTCCTTGCCAGAGCTTCCATTCTTTTTACAGGACTTGAATGCAAGTAATTGTGTTTCCCTAGAAACAGTATCAAATTTAGGGATCACGCTTTTGCAAGAGTCTTTTGGCAGGATAAAGAAGACATCATTGATCAGACAGATTCAAGAAGAAGAAAAAATGTCTATTCGTCATCGTAACTATTTGTGGAGGTTCGAGTTTTATAATTGCATAAAGTTGGATCAGATTGCAAGCAACAATGTTATGGAAGAGGCACTAATTAGAATTCAGCTCGCAGCCTACCTGTCATCAAGGATTGAAGTAATATGTGATTCTTATTTTCAAACTGATGAAGTTTTTAAAATGGATGACCCTGAAGATTTTATATATGTTTCCCGTCCGGTTTACATTATTCTACCGGGAAGTGAAGTGCCAAATTGGTTCACACATAAAAGAACAGACTCCTCAACTTCAAAACTTTTTGTACAGTGTTATCCTTGTCACAGTTACATGGGCTTTGCTTTCTGCCTTGTTCTAGGACCAATGCACTCAAACAGGGAGAAAAATCATCATAATGGTTTTGTGGCAGGGTGCAGATACTATTTTGAAGACACATATGTGGGAACTTGCATGATAAATTCTTCTTGCAATAATGCTGAATCGGATCAGGTATGGCTCTGGTATGAAAAATTAAAAGTTGTAGAGGGAAAAAGCTATGAATATCATAGTACTTTCTCTAAGAATGTCTCCTTTGAATTTTTTGTTCGACCTCAAAGTTCAGGACTTGTCGTGAAACAGTGTGGAATTCGACCATTGTATCATGCACATGTCATCATGCAAAGCTCAAATGAACAAGAAGGTGGCAGAGAAGATAAGAGATCTTACAGTCAGTCTGAAGCCTACGAAATTCGAAGGAAGTATGTGCTTTTGCGGTCGTATGTTCTTCCTCCATCACAATCAAAGAGACAAAGAATTCATGGGTATCATAATGGACATCTTGGGATACCCTTTTCATCAGTTTATTCTGCCAAGTATGTTTCTGAACTTGCAATGCAACATCACCGTTCTGGTAGTTTAGATGAAGTACTTGTTCATTTTGGCCTTGTTAGTTTCTACCACCAACGTGATGTGTCTATGCAACTTGCTCTGCGGTGTTTAGCACAACTGCTGCTGGATGACTATTGTTATTTAGGCAAACTCCTAGACAATATCAACATCTTATCATCGTTGAGAAGATTGTCAATACATGGTGGCAATTTTGAGAGCTTGCCTGCAAGCATCAAGCTTCTTTCAAGGCTGGAACGTCTTTCAATAAATGAGTGCAAGAGGCTTAGGTCTCTACCAAAGCTTCCATTATCACTTCAATGTTTAGTTGCCGATAATTGCACATCTCTGGAGACAGTTGAGTTAGCTCAGGAAAACAAGCTGGTATTTTTTGGAAAGTCACACGATCCAATGGTATTTTCTCCAATTTCTATATATGAAAAAGTATGGAGAATTGAAGTTATTGACCCAGAAAGAAGAGTTACGAAGTGGCACATGTTAATGTCACCAAATGATCCCATATCTGTTGAATTCAGTATTGCTTCACATATCGAGCTGTTGAATGTCACGTGTGTATCCGGCACAATAAAAATTACCACCAAGTGATAAATAGTTAAGGAAATCAGAAAAAATAATGTGACGGTTTCATTTGAATTCAGACTATCCAAATCCAATTGCTTGACCAAGGAACGAAGGGCATCAAGAAACAACCTTCCTCTTACTGCTTGATAGGTACCAAACAATTCTCCCTCTATCTCTCCAAAATTTTATATCCCTTAATTATGATGCTTCCTATTACATGAGAATTTAGTCCTTCAACTACAATAATTTGTTTCCAATATGACATAATAATAGCTATCTACATTAGAATCTTTTCACATTCATATAGAACCATATCCTTAATTTGTTGCCAATATTGATTGCTACCCGCAGGTAAATTGGTTATCTTGTGAACAATTTCGGCTTCAAGACAGGGAGACTGAAAATGCTACTCCTTTGCATGCTGGGCGATTATTGCACCAATTCAGTGTTGATTGATATACCTTGACTGAATCACGAACGTTTCACCAATTCGGTGCTTCCAGCTTTATAGGGCTGTGCATCCTATTTACCTTTCACATGCATCAAATATTAAGATTTGTCATGCCAGCTGAAGCCTGAAACTTTGACATGTAATGGAAGATCTATGCAGTCAGGCAAGATTTTCAGCCAAGTCAGAGCTGCCATTCATTTATTTCTAATTTACTAGTTATCCTAACCCTGAATTTTATGGATTGTTTAAATCAAATATATGTCATTATAAATTTTTTAATTAAATAGATAAATGTTTAGTATTAGTTTGAGTCAATTTATTTTGTTTTGAAAAAAGTCTTATAGTCAAAATATTTAGTTACAAAATATTTTTAGTGTAAAATGAATCAATTTAAACATACTTAAAATCTTATAAAATATAACAGAGATTCATATTTAAAATTTTAATAATTATTGACTCGGTTTTATGTTATTTATTTTTAACAATATTTAAATGTACTTTTTAACTTTATATACAGGATATAAAATGAAAAATTGTATTTAATATATTTCAGGGGGAAATTTCTTAATCACCTCTTGGAATGCTACAAAGATTTTAATGAACCCAAGTATACTTGAAGCAATCAGTTTCAAAGGTATAATTTAATTAAATTGTGTCACACATTAATGCTTGTTGTTGTAAGGATTCAATTATTTCCAAGATAGATTGAATGAACTGTTATTGGTGTATAGGCCAATTCCAAAGAAGTTGGGTGTTTCGGAGAGCCCACTACACAAGCCTTAGGTGGATATAGAAACTCTTACATGGTGATTTTGCTTACACTTCTCTACGAGAAAACCGATTATTGAAATTAGAGAAGCCAAAATGGTTAATCAAATTTATTATCATCACAAACTATTTTAGATTCTTTAAAACTTACTATGTTTTATTAACACTTATTAGCACTTATGATTGAAAACAGAGGTGTCAATCACAATTTTCTGTATTGTTCTCATTCAAAATAAAGGTTACAATATATATACAGCAGATTAATTAGCTGTGGGGAATAAAATGTATAAAGGACTAATCCGGTGCATAAGGTTTCTCAACTCATAAAGATAAGGGGTGAGGGTTAATTGTTTGCAATTTTACCGTTGCATTTTTATAGGTCATAAGGTGCAACCTTATTGCCCTCTTCGGAAAAAAAAAAACATAATAACACCTGAACTTTAGCTTGTAAATAGAAAACTATCAAAAATAAAAAATAAAATAAATTTACAAATAATAATCCCATAATATTGACCTCCTAATAAAACACATTCCCAACAGTTCGAACCCTCAAACTGTCAAGCTAGGGCCAACTATTTTGGATGCACCCAATGGACCACGCAACATCTAGAAGCAACACACTAAGATAAGTGATCAATCCAAGTGATAAGAGATACAAGCCACTATCCTATCTCCCAAAAGTTTAACTCCAAATCAAACTCTCTTGCCTACAAGTAACCTCATCTACAAATAAGGAATTAAGTTTCTCAGGTACACACCTTTTAAATCCTACTCTCTTAACTGTTATTGTGAACACTACCCCCCCCCCCCCCCCCCCCCATCTCCTTTGATCTTGAGCCTCATCAGTGCACAATGATTTGCTACCCTTTGCAGCATTCTATAGACTCCCTTGAGCGTACAAATCTCATATTGATTACGATATATAGTCAAACATTTACGATCATCTCGGATCGACCAATTTGGAATTTATATATTATTAAATCCTACTCTCAGGTACACACCTTTTAAACCCTATTCTCTTAAATGTTACTGTGAACACACCCCGCCTTTTTTGACCTTGAGCCTCGTCAGTGAACAATGATCTACCACCCTTTGCGGCATTCTATAGACTACTCCCTTGAGCGTATAAATCTCATATTGATTACGACTATACAGTCAAACATTTATGATCATCTCGAATCGACCAATTTGGAATTTATATACTATTGTTAATTTTAAAGTTAAGGTTGGTGATTAAGAGAATCTGTATAACATTTTTCATAAACGATAAACTTATCAAGCAAACACAATTTAGATTTTTGTGATAGCTTAATCTCAGTGTGTGCTCAAGACTTTTATGTCTAGATAGTTGTTGAAATTTATTATATTTTCCTGACAACCTTAGCTTTTTTTCATTCTCTATCAGTTCATTGATTACCTAACTAATTTTGTTCAAGACAAAGGGTAACCAATATCTACCTTCCAAATTTTTACCATTGCATATCTAAGACTTCAACATGGAACAATTACCTATTAATTTCCATTTTTCAGTATTAGATAAACTGTCTTTAAGAGGATGCAATATTGAGATTTGAGAAGTTGCGTTACAGGGTTTAAATATTTGTTTATTGAGAGCTCTCAATATTATAAGCAATTACAAAAGGTTTCAGTCTTTATTAGAGATTTCGCTCTTGCTCCTAGACTTGAATGCAAGTGATTGTGAGCCTGTTTCATTTCTATTTTGAAAAATGATTTTTTAGTTTTGAATACAAAAAAATAAGCTTCGTAAGATATGTTTTGTAAATAGTTTTGAAAATAGTATCTGATTTTTCCTTTTTAAAATAGAAATTATAGAACAACACTTGTGCGTGGAGGGTCTGTTTGAATGTGATTTTATTTTTTTGTATTTCAAAACTGTTTTGAATACAAATTTTAAAAACTGATTTTGAACGTAATAAAATAATAAAACTTGTTTGTATATAGTTGGATTTAAAATTATAAAGAAGTTGGATTTATTTACAAAAATATCATTAATGAATTCTTATAATTACAAGATTATCACCATAAAACAATTTAAAATTAAAACTAATTAATTTTGTTTACAAGAATTTCGTTAATAAATCCTCATATTTAAGAAATTTATGTCGCAAAAATATGAAAAATTAAAAAATAACTTTTGAGGACATCTCTAGATTATTCTCCAATTTCAGTTTTAAAAAATAAAAAATAATTATTGTTTTGAGAGTCATTTTTACAAAACAACCCTTTTCAAATAATTTTTTTACTTTCTTTCTTTTTTAAATTAAAAACTATTAAAAAACATGGGCACGTTTGATTTCTATTTCAAAAAATAGTTTTTTAGTGTTTAGAACAAAAAAGTAAAAAAAAAAATTATAAAAATATTTTTTTATAAAAATAACTCCCAAAACTATAATTATTTTTTAGTTTTTAAAACTAAAAATAGAGTGTTAGAGAATAACCTAGGGATGTTCTCAAAAATTATTTTTTGGTTTTATTTTTTTTGCGGTGACAATTTTTTAATTATGAGGAATAATGAATGACACTTTCATAAATGAATCTATTTTTTTAATTTTAAATTACTTTATGGTAACAATCTTATAATTATTATTAAAGTTCATTATTGGCATTTTTTAAATAAATACTTTGTTATAACTTTAAAGAAAATAATTTTCTTATGTTGTAGGAAAATAGTTACCTCATGTTGTAGAAATAAAATTATAAGTGGGACCCACAGGTAAGAGGAGTGAGAGAGAGAGAAAAAAGAGTGATGGAACCTAACCATTTTGTGTGTGTGTAGGAAAGTTGTTTATTTCATGTAAAATGAGATAAACATAACCCAACTTTAAATTCAACTATATTTAAACAAGTTTTATTGCTCTTCTACTTTTGAAATCAATTTTTAAAATTTATATTCGAAATAATTTTTAAAAAAATCATATTCAAATAGTTCCTACTTCTTTTGTTTTTAATTTTTTTTTCTAAAATTTGTTTTTTTCCAAAAAAAAATGTAATACTCAATAAATAAATAATGTCTTCTTATTAATGATAATTTGCAAATACTGAAATATTCTAATGTCTCATGTGTTTAACTTTGAGATCTTTGCTTTCCTATCACTATGCAGAGATTGAAGCACATTTTTTTTGCTAAGAATGATACAAAAGCATATGGCGAGGATGGTTATACAACATCCTTCTTTCAATACAGTTGGAATTAGGGATGTCAAAACAGTTGGAATCACATCCATGTATATTATAAAGGCACTCGCATATAACAGCTCAATAGCATTTCACAAATCAATATATCATGAAAACAACATCATGCATATAACCATACCTCCATGGGACATGGTGGAACCAACAATGGCTAAACCGAGGACACGAAAGCTTACCTTGCAAGCTAACAATCCAAGCCAAGAGTCCAACCAATCTCAAAGCTCAAACACAGCAGAATCACAATCTGTTTTGGACCAACAATCATATCAAAATCATACTCAACAAGTATAAGACACGAGGACAACGTCTTTCCTTTACATTTCATGTCTTAAGGCTTCTCACAAAGCCACAAGCCCTTAATCACTTAGATTCTGACTTAACTAATCAATACAGAAGCTCAACTTAACCAGTCTAGGGTCTAGAAACCCCAAACATCATTCTGTATGAACAGTGCAGCTACTGTTCTTCGAAAACCCAGAATATCCGGATATTTGTCGGGGGCATATCCGGATATCAATATCCGGATATCTATCTTCCAATATCCGGATATCAATATCCGGATATTTATATCCGGATATTTCGCGACAGAATGCAGTTCTGCATTTTGCGAGATATCCTTCCAAAGGTTGGGTTTTTAACTCATTCCAACGTCCAAGCATGCATTTTTAACCTCTTTTAAGTTCATATAACAGTTGGTTACTTGTTTAACTCATTAAACATGCCAAGACACCTCTTTTAACCATTAAAACTCATGATCAAAGGTTGAACAACTTAACCAAGGCTCAAAACAGAGAAGGGAGTGCTCTTGGAGCTCACCAAACAGCTCCAAATACTCAGACTAAGATAGTGCACGAAAATGCACTACAAGGTGGGTCCTTTCTTCACAAAGATGACCACTTGGAGCTCCCACAACCAAGACAAGGCTCCAACCACTCAAGCAAGGAACTCAGCCCCAAAACTCTTCCCCAAACAGTACCCTCAACTTAGCAAAATTGAACCTCACCCTCACAAGACATCCACTCAAGTGTTTACAAGGTGAAAGAGGAGGAAAAACAAGTAAAAGGTGACAACTTGGTCACAAAATGGTGAAGAGGAGCAAAGGAGTAGAGCACAAACTGACCAGCCACCAAAACTCACGTAGGATAGTTTTATGGCCTAGGGTTTAGTGCCTCAAATAAGTATGGGTAATACTTCTCTTATGTTGTATAAGAGAAGTACTATCTCATGTTCAAACAAAAAGTAGGAGATAGAAAAAAGTTAAAGGTGAGAGAGAAAAAATCTTGTGGGACCCATTTGAGAAATGTGAGTGTAGGAGATAATATTTTGTTTATGTAACATGAGAAAAGTAATTCCCAATAAGTATATATATAGTGGTTTAAGTCATAAACACACAGTATTATCATAATTAACTACACTCAGCATTTTAATCCCAAACTCAGGATTCTAAACCTACTCAATTTTACAAGATTTATCATATTTTTATATTATTTTTCGCAGCACCTTTCCGGTACGCGCTTTTCCATAGCCAGTATCAGTTCTGGCACCAGTTCTCATTATTTTGACTTGAAATTTATTTTACAAGTCCTATGTATTATTCTAGTGACATATACACACTTTTTATAATTTTTCGGGATACTTCACCGGTACGCATTTATACCGAGTAGCAGAACCGGTATCTGCACTTTTCGTCCGAAAAGTGACTTTCAGCATAATTACTCACTTACTATAATTATCTAAGCCTCATAATAATTAATGGGGTCATTATAGAATTATTTTCTAATTTTTCATAATTAATTAATTAACTTCCTTAATTAACGATGATGTTTCTTACAACATCATCTAAATTTATGGCTGACTCTAGTTTACTATCAGTCTGACGCGCGTGTTTCAATGTCAATACGAAAATCTATAAGCATTGGAGGTTCCTCCATAATAATATCCATGGTTAATATCTGTACAAATAAACAAACAAATTTTGAAAATTAAACTCAGCTTTGAATATATAAAGCCAAATTAATTTGTAAAATGACCACATAAATTTTAGTATAATGTCATACGAATTTGAATAAATTTAACTTAGCTTTGATTTGAATCCAATACTGAATTGATTAATTTTCTTCAAATTTCTAAGATTATACTTTTTTTAGCATTAAAATTGGTATGATGTTGATATAAAGAACTCATGCAAAATATATAAAATTCAAAGTAAGCTGAACTTTATTGTCTATGTGAAAAAATATAAAAAAAGCAAGAGACATTATGGTTGGAGCAATTTTTAACAATGATAATTATGTTAAAAAGATGTCATGTAGAGACATTAAACATGATTTCTTCATTTGAATGGGGAAAAGAATGCTACCGTAATGTTATCGTTGAAAGAGAGATTATTTTGTTCTAATAACAAAGAATCAAAAGAATTTTCTATTTACTTTTATCATCCGATTAAAAATTTTAACTTTCAATGAATCAATTATATTTGAAAATAATATCGTTGCTCATACGTTTCACAAGTTTATGGTTATTCAACTCTATATCATTGCTAATGGAAGCTAGTGAACCACTAACCACTAACTATTCTACTATCTTTCTATGAAATTTATTCTAAGAGTCATTAGCTAAAATTAGGAAAATCAAACCCAATCTAAAATCTCTAAACCCAATGACAGACACAAAGATGAAAAAGAATATAAAAGGATAGGGGTCAAAAAAGTTACCGCCTTTGCAAAATATTTAAGGGTGGTGGCAAGGTATATGAAAAGGCTTTTTCAATTCACAAGCATACTTCCAACCTTCAGGAACCAAGCAAGATGGAACATTCGAACGCTACAAAGAATAGACCAAACAATGAAAAAGTGTTGGGGTTAAGGTTGTGTATCCTTCATAAAACCTGGGTAACTTTTGAAAAAGAGGATATGGGTTAGGGCAAGAGCAACATCAATCAAGTGAGAAGACAGAAGCACACATGATGGATAACAAAGTTTGTAAAAAAAAAAAACTAATGGATATGCTTAATTGTTGAAATTACATAGTGTTAGGAGATTAATTGCAACCATTAAAAGTACAAGGTGATTTTTTTGAAACATTACCTAAGTACAAGGGGTTAATGTGTAATTTAGCCCTAATATTTTGCTACGAGTGAAGAACTAGAGGGTTGGAAACACGTGTGTTTATCCTTCTTTGGAAGAGCCACCCTTCTTAAGTCGATCATTTTTGCAATTCATGCCATCCAGATGCAAACTAGCCTTATATCTACTTTCATTTGTGATGAGGTGAAACGATTGTAGCTATAAAGAACCAATTCGACCCAAAAGTTTAAGCTGTTGATTGATGCTACATTAATGATTTTATATATTTCTAACACGCCCCATCACAAAAGAACCCATTGAGCTTGAAAGGTGGGTGATGCATCAAGCCCAACCTAACTGTGCTAAGAAATTTCACAAAGAAAATGGGAGGAGTCAAGAATTGAACCCGAGACACCGAAGCTCTAACACTATATAAAGAACCAATTTAACCCAAAAGCTTAAGCTGCTAGGTGAGAGTCTCTTTAATGATTTATATTATACTTTAATATGCTCTCTTATATAAGAGCTCACTAGGCTTTAAGGGAGAACAATACACAGGCCTACCTACTTGTTCTAAAAAATTTCACAAGAGAAAGTGAGTGGTGGTAAGGATCGAATCCGTAACACCGAAACTCTAATACCATATAAAGAACAAATTCAACCCAAAAACTTAAGTTATTAGATGAGGGCCTCTTTAGTAATTTATATCATACTCTAGCGGGAAATTTCTTTGGGGGAGTCTGAACATCAATGAAAGGCAACCTTCTATCTTGGCATCAAGTTTGTAAAACCCATCACCTTGGGGGATTTGGGTAATTAATCTACGCACTCAAAACGAAGCATACCTTCACAAATAAGCATGGGGTTTAGTGTCCAAGTCAAATGATCTCTGGGTGCAAGTCTTCTTTGACGAGCATGGACATCATGCTGCTTTACACATAGCAATAACAATGAGATCGTATAATTATCCTCTTTGGAAAGCTCTTGGAAAATAATGGCCCTCCTTCCTCCAAAGACTGCATTGGGAAATTGTTGATGGCCACAATGTTAAGTTTTGGATGGACAATTGGATGAACTTAAATGAAATCTTCTCAATTCAGTGATACAAGTTCTACCTACGGAGGACATTGACCAAAGCATTCATGCATGTGCTTTAACCTCTATGGGTGAGTGGAACATTCAATATCTCTCCACTTACTTCAGTTTGGATGTTGTTGAGTGTATTTTAGCCAAGCCTCCTCCAACAACTGACATGGACAAAAACAAGCATGTATGGGCCAACAATCACATTTCCACTTTCCTAGTTAAAGTTATGTGAAATAAATTTTTTTTTTAAATCAAATAAGTTTTTTGTTCTTTTCCTTTGAAAACATATTTTCAAAACAAAATTACCAAACATTTTTTCTTTAAATTTTAAAATCTTTTAAAAAAATAATTCTTGTAAAACAAATTGCATGGATATTTAAGTCAAAATCTAACCTAACCTAGTCTATTTAACTCCCTATCATTGCAAAACAAATTGCATGGATATTTAAACTTTACCATGCTCGAGTTATTCAAAACTAATCTTACTCGCAAATTTAATGCATGCATATCTAACTCTTCCCAGCATAATTTTATTTCACATGAATGTTAATAATTTTAATTTTTCCTTTATTATAAGATATGACATAAAGGTGAATGTTGCAAACTTTTTTCACCCGTCATGCTTGAATCATCTCTCTTTCAAATTTTCATTAACATTAAACAAAGAATCCCTTATCGCTACCCGCTCATTAGCGCGCTATTTCACAATACGGCAAATTGCGACCAATCGGTGGCGAACGTTAACAAAAAATGACACCCTCCATGTGCACGTTAGCACGAGCCCGTGCTTCTCACGCCGTCTGCGTCTACGATCTTTCTCTTTCTCCGTGCAACCTACCTTATTCTACGCACCCCTTCTTCCCTTTCTCCACACTTACTCCTTTTAGGGTTAACGCTTCTTCGCTCTCTCCAAACCTCTTCTTCTTCTTCTTCCACGTTCTTTCTGAGAAATAGGGTTCCTTTGTTCATCTTCACATTCACATTGTAATTGCGTTCCAGCGCATGGATCGCACAACTAAACCCAACGACTCGTTCTCCTACTCCAATCTCTTCAATCTTGAGGTTGGCATTGGATTTTCCCTACTTCAATTTTTTGGCGAATATTGTTTTTTTTTTCCCCCACCGTTTATGTGTAGATTGTTGATTTCTGCATGCCTCTTATTTTTTCTTTAATTCAATTCTATTTTGTTGATTAGCTATTTACATAATTTTTAAAAAATATTTTGAACGAATTTAATGTGGTTATGCAATTTTGCTTTTTTGTTTTTGTTTTTCTCTCTCTGATAGCGCTGTTTTTGTAGTCTTTGATGAACTTTCAACTTCCGCGACAAGATGATGATTTTGATTATTATGGGAATAGTAGTCAGGATGATGAGAGCAGAGATAACCAAGGTAGGCGGCATTACTCTCCTTTTTATTTTTTTCTGGTGTTTTTTTTTTTTTTAATGATTTTTCTCTGGTGTTTTTGTCTATACATTGTTTTGGATTGAGGGGCTTTTATTACATGTTTGGATTTTAATGCTTGTGAATTATGATTCTATTGTAAAGTTTACGACTGTTTGGATGGTGGGTGACTATTTATTTTTTGATTAAAGTGTTATAACTAGTATTAAGTATACTACGTGTCTTTGGGATGCTTCCATAAGTAGGTGGTGGGGCAATTGCAAATCACAGTAACGGGAATGTGAATTCGTTGAAGACTAGGGCGTGGTCTCAAAACAGTGATGATGAGGAAAAGGGCAGATTTTGTGGGACGTACATGACAGAGGAGCGATATCGATCAATGCTTGGAGACCATGTTCGGAAATACAAAAGGAGGAGTAAGGATGCCTCGCCTAGTCCTGCTCAAAATCGGGTTGCTATTCCGCTTGTCAAAAGTAACACTGGCTTAAGAGCTCGAAAGTCAGGGAATGATCACAGAGGAGGATTGCATGCTGCTGAAACTGCTTCTGAATGGCTATATGATTCCAATTCTCAGAAATCAGGAAACTGCCGTGATGCAGATTTTGTGCAGCAATATGGAACTGATAGGTTTGCCTTCCTGTTCTATTGCTTATCAGAGGTTTTGAATGGTGAATCATTTTTTATGTTACAAATCACCTAACCTTTTGTAAACTTCTTGCAGGATTATGTATGAACCTGCTTATTTGGACATTGGAGATGGTATCAGTTACAGGATTCCTCCAGTTTATGATAAGTTGGCGTCAATGGTGAACCTCCCAAGTTTCTCAGATATACGTGTGGAGGAATTTTACTTAAAGGGTACCTTGGATTTGGGGTCCTTGGCTGCAATGATGGCTGCTGATAAAAGTTTTGGTACTAGAAACCGAGCAGGCATGGGGGAACCCCTTTCCCAATATGAATCACTTCAGGCACGAATAAAGGCCGTGTCAGCTTCGAATTCACCTCATAAATTCAGCCTTAAAGTGTCTGATGTTGATTTGAATTCCTCCATTCCGGAGGGGGCTGCTGGAAGCATAAAGCGAGTTATTTTGTCTGAGGGTGGTGTATTGCAGGTCTATTATGTTAAGGTTTTGGAAAAAGGTGACTTCTATGAGGTATGTATCAGTTGGGATATTATGATGAGAGACTCTTTTCTTTTATCTTTACTTTCTCCATTTGTCCCTTTTATTCAGCTTTGAATTATTACTGCTTCAGATCATTGAGCGTAGCCTGCCTAAGAAGCAGAAGGTAAAAAAAGACCCTGCTTCCTTTGAGAAGGAGGTAATGGATAGAATTGGAAAGATTTGGGTAAACATTGTAAGAAGAGACATGCCAAAGCATCATAGGAATTTTACTACTTTTCATCGAAAGCAACTCATTGATGCCAAGAGGTTCTCAGAGAACTGTCAAAGAGAGGCATGTGCTATCCCCCATAAGCATTTTTTCCTGTTTTATTTCAGATTGGTTTTTAGCTATCTAGTCCAAAGTATATGATGTAGGTTTGTATTTTGGATTTGCTTTATTATAACTTTTCTGAATTCATTTTTTCTTCAGGTTAAATTCAAAGTTAGTAGATCACTTAAATGGATTAGGGGTGCCAGTATTCGCACCAGGAAACTAGCAAGAGACATGTTGCTGTTCTGGAAACGAGTAGATAAGGAGATGGTACTTTTTAATTCCTTTCTGAAATTTCTTGATTTTGTTGACTTGCTTCTGTGTGCATGTCTTGATGCTGTTTATGCAATAGATCTTTATATTTCAATCTCCTGTATGAATGATATTATTGAAATGGTATCCAAAGGATTTTTATATATTGTGGGAAATGATTGATCTATGTGGTATAGTGCACACATTATACCTTTGAATTCAAATTATGTTTTACTAGCTGTTCAGTTTAGGTGTCTTTTGAGACTCAGATAAGAAGAATAGGGCTCTGTTTATTAGATTTATTGCACCCTCTTTTATCTGACAGAAAATGGGTCTTCTTTTTTCTAGACCTTCATATCTGATAATCTGCCCTCAGAATTATTCTTTAAATGTCAAATCATCACACAAGTATAATTCACTTTTACATTAGACTTGAGTATGCTGTAATTTTTCAGTTCCATTCCTTGTAGATCGAAGTGAGGAAAAGAGAAGAGAAAGAAGCTGCTGAAGCTTTGAGACGTGAACAGGAGCTTCGAGAAGCCAAGAGGCAGCAGCAAAGGCTTAATTTTCTCATACAACAAACTGAGCTGTACAGTCACTTTATGCAGAACAAGTCAAACTTACTATCGTCTGAAGCTTTACCCATGGTAGAAGAAAAAACAAATGATCAAGATGCAGTGTCCAACTCTTCAGATGCTGGACCTAGTGAGGAGGAAGATCCAGAAGAGGCTGAATTAAACAAGGAAGCTTTGAAGGCTGCTCAAGATGCAGCCTCTAAGCAGAGAAGGTTGACAAGCGCTTTTGACAGTGAATGCTTGAGGCTGCGCCAGGCAGATGAAACTGATTCACTTTCACAGGATGTGGCAGGAGCGAGTAACATTGATTTGCAAACCCCGTGAGCTCTCTCTCTATCTAGTTTTTGTTATGTGGATATATACATATACACTATATGGACATATATATATATATATATATATATATATATATATATATATATTAGCTTTTTTCTGTGTTTTTCTTTTGGATGGTATTGAGGAGTGTGAGACTAAGAAATATTGTGTCAGCTGTAATGAAGTTTTGGTATTGTTATATTACAGCTCAACCATGCCAGTGGCATCCACAGTTCGGACTCCAGAATTATTTAAAGGTTGTCTAAAAGAATATCAGCTAAAAGGTCTTCAATGGCTAGTTAATTGTTATGAGCAGGTTGTTGAGCAATTCCAAATAACTTCCTCATGATTTCCCCGCCCCCTTTTCTTTTGGGTTGTTAATTTGAAGGCTTTTGATGTCTTTCAGGGTTTAAATGGTATACTTGCTGATGAGATGGGACTTGGAAAGACTATCCAGGCTATGGCATTTTTAGCTCATTTAGCTGAGGTAGGTATGAAAACTGGTGTTTATGTGCATCTCTGTGACTTTATTTTAACTTGTTAGTTACATGCAGGAGAAAAACATATGGGGGCCTTTTCTGGTTGTTGCACCTGCTTCTGTATTAAACAATTGGAATGAGGAACTTGAGCGCTTCTGCCCTGATCTTAAAAGATTTCCTTATTGGGGAGCAGAGCGGACGGTACTTAGAAAAAGTATTAACCCAAAGGATCTTTATCGTAGGTATTATTAATTTTTCTTTTCCTTAAAAAAATTGGTGGCAGTAATAGTGTTTGTCCTGGGGTAGATACTTGTGCAAATATGCACAGATGAAGTTACTACGGTGGGGTTGGTATTTGGTAAACAAAGAAATATAGTTTGTTCATAGCACAAGCTCCTTTGAGCCTCAGTTGATGTTGTTTCATTATTGTAGAAGATTTAAACTCAGTAAAGGTTCTTTTTTTTTTTTTTTGATAGACCAGTAAAGGTTCTTTCTCACAATAGAAGAATCATATCTGCACTGATTTTTTTATTCTTTTATTATTTTTAGTATGTACTTCAGTGGATTTTTGGTGCTGGAAAAATGAGCCATATTTTCAGTAATATTCATCATTTGGTTTGAAGTCAAGTAAAGTAGGTTGGGATTAGATGAACTGTTGAACTTTACTGAAAATTTAATGTTTTACATATTATGGCTTCAGATTCTAATTGTTGGTCGTGGGAATCAACGTCAACAACACCTTTATCCCAAACTAATTGGGGTCGGTGGTAGATGAACCCAAATGAAAAATACAAATTGAAAAAAGATAAAAATGAAATTTAAGTGTGTATATATATATATATATGTGTGTGCGTGCGTGTATATGTATATATATATATATATATATATATATATATATATATATATAAAGAGGTAAACAATTAAAAGGGAAAGTATATTAAGGTAAACTAAAGATAGAGAGTAAAAAGGAGTGCAAAAAAAGAGAGTAAAAAAGTAAGGAAAATATATATATATAGGTGTGTGTGTGTGTATAAATATAAAAATAAAAATAGAAAGGGTGTGGAAAAAATAAATAAATAAGTATGAAAAGAAAAAGATGGGGAAGGGGAAAAGATATAAAGAAAGGGAAGGGGAAGGGGAAAAGAAAGGGACAATAAGGAGGGGGGGGGGGGAGATGAAGAGGAAAAGGACTAAAAAGGGACCATATGGGACATAGGAATAACAACGGGTCTAACCTTCCACCATTCTTATAGCTTTTCTCCATTCCGTCCTAAGACACACCGTCTACCAAACTATATCTCACTCCATCAAGTCTTGTTTTGCTCCCTTCCCCCAAGTAAATTTCGGTCTACCTCTATCTCTCTTTGTTTCGAGCTCTTGGTAAACAAGCTTTTGTTCTTACGGGAGCATCTGGGGCCTTCTCATTACGTGCCCAAACCATCTCAATCTATGTTCTCTCATTTTTCTAGCCACCAGTACTACTTTTACCTTTCGTCGAATATCTTCATTCCTTATTTTTGCTACTTTCATTTTATGCTCATGTTGCCTATGTGCTGGCTAATATTAAGCTCCATATAACATTACAGGCCTTACTGCTCTTCTATAAAATTTTCCTTTTATATATTATGGCTTCAGATTCTAATTCTTGGTTGTGGGAATGAGAGATAAAAATTATGCAGATCCAACCTCAGACAGTGGGTCACTGTGGAATCTAGATGCTTTTAAAAGAGGAAAGATCAAAATGGGCCCATTGTATGGGTATTACTATTGACCAACTCTCTTTTGGCTTGAAGTGGGCCTTTGTGTTATTGGCAAAAGGGCTTGTGTGAGGGAGCATGCTTATATCATCCATATCTCAAGCCAATGAATTATTGTTGAGGGGGTGTATTAGCGACATAAAACCATTGATGAGCTTCCACTCTCAAACTTACGGGGCGTTTGGTATGTGGGTAAATTTGAGATTCCCGGGAAACTGTCATTGGGAATCTTATTTATCCACGTTTGGTACAAGGAAGCGTAAAAATTTTCCTGCGAAAATTAGTTTCCCGAGGTTTCAAAATGTGAAGCAAAATACCAACCAGTAATACCATCCCACAGGTGGTATTCTGAAAATCCCACACTGGGGGAAAATATCAGACAAAAATATCCTCCATACACATCAGTCTTTACAATAGGAACACCAGAGTAAACATATTCAGGAGGAAGATACCCCATTGTTCCTGCTGGAATAGTAGCATCCCTTGTAATAGAACTATGTTCATACACTTCTGCAAGTCCAAAATCCCCTAGCTTGGCATTGAAATCTGCATCTGCATCAAGCATTGGTGATTCTTCAACAGCTGAGGAAGTAATAAACTATACAAGATATGTCAAAACCAACGATTGAGGTAATTACCAAGATCTACATCTTCAAAGGGGCTTCCACTTTTCCCCAGCATGGGTAAAGGCATCAATAGCAGTGCACTCAGCTGTCCCCATAGCACGTAGAAAAATGTCAAAATGAAAAAACATAAACATTACTAGGAATTGTGAGTGCTTAATAAGCCTTGTACAAACAAACCATTCATGGTGGGATTAGACATAGCAAAGATATTCTCTGAGTCGAATGTCAACCATTAAAATTAAGAAACTCAATAACAGAAAAGTTCATATAGTACCCAAAGTTGTCAAATTGTGCTTGAAGAAAAGACTGAAGGTGGGGTTATTTTTGTAAAATCATCCCACATTCCTAGTAATATTTGACAATCAACCAAAAATAGAATCAGTAATCTTGAGCTAATATTTCCGGTAAAATTTTGGCCTACCAAACAGCTTTTTGGTCACATTCCCGGGAAATTTACTTTCCCATCATATTCTTGGGAATCATGATTCCTAGGCACAAAAAAATTTATCCTCTACCAAACGCCCTTTAGTTTATGAGAGTTGGTCCTTTACAAGTGTGAAGAAAATTTTTCAATTTGATTTAATTATGTGATGGCATGACAGTTTTTTGTCATAAATTCAAAAGTTGAAAGATCATTGGCTTATAACTGCAATATATTTATAACTTTGATGGGTATTAATGCATTGTTCTTCTTAAGAGTATCTTGATTTGTAACCTTTGAAGTTCTGCAGCAGTGAGGCATACAATAATTTGGCTCTTGCTTGTCAGTAGTTAATTCCATTTGTATTTCATCATTTTGGTCTTTCTCACCCTTTTGATTACAGTTGAATCTGAATATTATTGTATATTCAAGTGTGTATAACTGCACAAGAAGGCTCTCTATTTATAGAGACTAAAAGACCTAATGGGCTAAGCCCACAATCTAGACTAATCTAATAATAATAGACTAATATTATTTCTAACACTCCCCCTCAAGCTGGTGCATATATATCAAAAGCTCCCAGCTTGTTACAAATATGATCTATTCGGGGACCTCTAAGAGCTTTAGTGAATACATCCGCAAGTTGATCATTGGAATTGACAAATGCTGTCTCGATCTCCCCTGACTGGATCTTTTCTCTAACAAAATGACAGTCAATTTCTATATGCTTGGTCCTCTCATGAAAGACTGGGTTAGAGGATATATGCAAAGCGGCTTGATTGTCACAAATGAGCTTCATAGGCCGTTGTTCACAGAGATGGAGTTCCTTAAGCAATTGTCTCAGCCAGATGAGCTCATAGGTTGCATTTGCCATTGCTTGACATTCTGCCTCCGCACTGGATCTGGCGACCACAGTTTGCTTCTTACTCTTCCAAGAGATCAAATTTCCTCCGAAGAGAACACAATACCCTGAGGTGGATCGTCTATCTGAAGGAGAACCTGCCCAGTCAGCATCTGAATAACTAGAGATCTCTGAACTCCCTTTATTTGTGTATAATAAACCTCTTCCTGGCGCCTTTTTAATATATCGGAGAATTCTAATAACTGCATCCCAATGGGAGTCACAGGGAGAATCAAGAAATTGACTTGCAACACTCACTGCGAAGGAGATATCTGGTCTTGTCACAGTAAGATAATTCAATTTTCCAACTAGTCGGCGGTAGCGACTAGTATCTGGCAGTGGCTCCCCCTGTCCTGGTAATAGCTTAACATTGGGGTCCATAGGTGTATCAATGGGTTTACAGCCTAACATGCCAGTCTCATCTAGGATATCCAGTGCATACTTCCTCTGACAGATGGAAATGCCCCGCCTAGACTGTGCAACTTCGATCCCCGAGAAATATCGAAGTCTGCTAAGATCTTTGGTCTGAAATTGATTGAATAAATGCTCTTTCAACTGATCAATCCCGGTCTGATCGCTGCCTGTAATGATAATGTCATCAACATAGACCAGGAGATAAATGCACTGGCCAGAAGAGCTATGCCGGTAGAAGACAGAATGATCGGCTTTGCTTCTGATTAAGCCAAAGGATTCAACAACTGAACTAAAGCGGCTAAACCAGGCCCGAGGAGATTGCTTCAGGCCATATAAAGATTTCCGAAGTTTACATACCATTCCAGAACTCTCCCCCTTAGCAACAAAACCTGGTGGTTGCTCCATATAAACTTCCTCCTGCAAGTCACCATGTAGAAAAGCATTCCTAATATCAAGTTGGAGAAGGGGCCAGTGATGAATGGCGGCAAGGGCAAGAAACAAGCGAACAGAAGCCATCTTAGCAACAGGAGAAAAGGTATCCCCATAATCAAGACCAAAGATCTGTGTGTATCCCTTGGCCACTAAGCGAGCTTTAAGGCGATCAACAGTGCCATCAGGACCAACTTTAACTGTGAACACCCATCGACAACCAACAACAGATTTCCCGGGAGGAGCACGAATAAGACCCCAAGTGCCATTGGAGTGAAGTGCCTGCATTTCATCAAGCATTGCCTGGCGCCACCCTAGATGAGATAGTGCTTCACCTGTGGTTTTAGGGATGGAAACAGAAGAGAGACTAGAAACAAAAGTAAAATGTTGTGAAGAAAGTCTGTCATAACTCAAGAAAGAATAAAGGGGATGAGGATTTCGAGTGGATCGAATACCTTTCCGAAGGGCAATGGGAGGAGTCTCTGATGGAGGATCCGGAGGAGAAGAGCCGACAGGAAAGGGCGATGAGTCATCAAGAGGCAAAGTCGGAGGAGGTGCAGGCTGACGACGCTGGTATGTGAGGAGAGGACGATCTGCAGGTATGGAGGTAATGGGTTGCTCCTCTGGAATAGGGTCACCTGCAGCTGGTAAAGACAAGTCAAGAAAAGGAACAGGAAGGACCTGATCAACCTATGACACTGGAGACGAAGTAGAGTGAAAAGTTTGCTGATCAAGGAAAGTGACACCAGCAGAAACGATATAACGCTTGAGATCAGGAGAATAGCAACAATACCCTTTTTGAAAACGTGTATACCCAAGGAAAATACATTTGAAGGCCTTGGATGTCAACTTGTGTTAACCTGGAGTAAGATCATGAACAAAACAAGTACAACCAAAAATATGTAAATGCAGAGGATAAGAAGGTGCTCCGGAAAACAAAATACTGTGGGAAACATCATTATTTAACACAGAAGAGGGCATGCGGTTGATAAGGAACATGAGGTGATAATAGCATCTGCCCAAAAACGGAGTGGGACGTTCATATGAATGAGAAGGGTACGTGCAATTTCAACTAGATGTCTATTTTTACGTTCAGCGACTCCATTTTGTTGTGGAGTGTGGGGATAGGTAGTCTGGTATATCGTCCCATGTGTATCCAGAAATTTAGAAAATCCAAGAGACACATACTCTTTTGCATTATCACTGCGCAAGATTTGAATAGAAGCACCAAATTGAGTTTTTATTTCTGCACAAAACTTTTGATAAATTGAAAAATAACTCAGAACGATTTTTCATTAAATAAACCCAAGTGCAACGGGAGAAATCATCAATAAAGGTTACAAAATACTGAAAACCCAAAACTGACATAGTCCGACTCGGACCCCAAATATCAGAATGAACAATAGAAAAGGGAGCAGCAGCTCTCTTATTGACTCTACTAGCAAAGGAAGAGCGAGTATGCTTTCCCTGCTGACAAGACTGACAATTCAAAGACTTAAGACCTGACAAAAAAGGAACCATATGCTGAAGCTTCGAGAGACTTGGATGACCCAGACGGCAATGGAGAAGCTCAGGAGACTCTGTGAGAGAGCATGCAACTGGAACAGAGGGTGCATGCAGATAGTAGAGACCTCGTGATTCACTGCCCGCTCCAATCGTCTTCCCGTACCCGGATCCTGCATAGAAAAAGACTGTTTAGAAAAGGTGATAGAGCAAGAAAGAGAATGGGTCAATTGAATAACAGAAATTAAATTAAAAGGAATGTCAGGGATGTAATAAACAGAGGTTAAAGTCAAGAAGGGAGTTGGTTTGGCTTGCCCAATGCTACGAGCAGGAGCCTTGGTGCCATCAGCAAGAGTAACAGAGGGAAGATTATTAGAAAAGGTAAGGGAAGTAAAGAGATCCTTATTACCACAAAGATGATCAGTAGCACCTGAGTTTATTATCCAGGGTCCAAGAGACGATTGAGAAAAACAAGCAACATGATTACCAGTATCTGGAGCAGGTGGCTGAGAAGAACTCTTCTGGAGAAGGGCCTCATAGTCTGCAACGGAAATAGTCACTGATCCGGTAGAGGGCGGCACAACATCTGTTTGAGCAAAGTTCATATGTGGTGGCTTCAAGTGAGGGTACTTTCTGTAGCAACGTTCTTCAATGTGGCCCAGATTTTGGCAATAATTACACCGAGGCCTTTGTCCTCGGCCACCCTGTCTATATGACGTCGTCTGTCCGCGCTCGCCTGGGCCATAAGATGTCATGGGCCCGCGACCGCCTTGTCCGCGGCCACGACCACGACCGCGTCCACCATTGTTCCAACTACCACGAGAGATTAAAGCAGCAGAATCAGACAAGAGGGCAGTAGAGTCAGTAGCTGGCACGTGTGCGGGGGCACCTTATCTTGAAGATTCAGAAGGCGCTGAAAGGTCTGGGATATACTGGGAATCTCAGTACTGGTTAGAATGTTCTCACGAACACTTTCTAATCCGTCAGGGAGACCAGAGAAAGTCACAACCGTAAAGAGACGCTCCACTTGCGTCCTGTACACTGTAGCATCCGCAGCATGAGGTAACATAGCCAAAAATTCCTGCATCAAAGAACGAATCTTACCAACATAAACTTCCATACGAGCTTCGGGTGATTTGCGCAAATCCATCATCTGGGAGACAATGGAATAAAGTTGCTGAATATCATTGGTGTAGAGGTTTTTGGCTTCCGTCCACACATCATAGCAGGTCTCAAAGGGAATGAAAATATTGATAAGAGATGAATCAATGGATTGCCAAAGAATACTGAGGAGCTGAGCATCAACTTTCTCCCATTCAGACGTCTGATCTTTGGAAATATCAGTCGTCTTAGTGGTGAGATGTTTGTCATGGCCCTGACCGGTAAACAAGATCTTTACGGAGGTAGACCAGGTCTTGTAAGTGGCAGATCCGGTCAATTTCAGAGTTGTGATAGATGGAATAGCACTTGAAATGATGCCGGAAGGATGTTTACTGGTTCCTTCCATCAGAAACAGCAATCAGACGACAAAAAAAAAAAACGGTAAAAGTCACGCGAAAAGGCAACAAAGTAGCAATTTTTGCACTGGAAACCCCCGAACGGAAGAGACCCACAACGAACGGACACCGGATCTGGAAGGAGGAGGGAGAGGCGAGCCTGTCTGCCTTGGTTCGGCCGGAAAAGGTGGCCGAAACAGTGCACACGCGCCGGAGAGAGGTGGCGCGTGAGGCCCACGCGCAGACGGCTGTGGTGGCGCGTGGGGGCGCGTGCCGCGGCCGTTTGGGACGGGTCTTGGACAGAAACGGTCGCCGGCGTGAGGGGAGCCTGATCGCGTGGTTTCTCGCCGGAAAGGTGGCCGGAACAGTGATGAACAGTGACGGAACAATGTTTTTGGCGATGTGAACAGTGTTTTCCGGTCAAATAATGAAGGAGGATGACGATCTGAGATCGAAAAAAAGGTCTAACAATGTTCGGAGGGTTGCAAAAGGTTGCCGGTATGATGCACGGCGGTAAAAGGGTTTGCCGGTATGATGCACGGCAGTAAATAAGAAAGGAAAAGATATATATGCGGAAGCAGAGCCCTCGGATCGAGAGCTTTGATACCAAGTTGAATCTGAATATTATTGTATATTCAAGTGTGCATAACTGTACAAGAAGGCTCTCTATTTATAGAGACTAAAAGACCTAATGGGCTAAGCCCACAATCTAGACTAATCTAATAATAATAGACTAATATTATTTCTAACAATTACTATGGTTACTACTTCTTTCTTGTTTTCAGGGAAGCTAAATTCCACGTGCTCATCACAAGCTATCAGCTCTTAGTAACTGATGAGAAGTTTTTTCGCCGTGTGAAATGGCAGTACATGGTTTTAGATGAAGCGCAGGCAATCAAAAGTTCAAACAGGTTTTGGATAATTTCTGTTTTGAAGTGCAGTAGTGAATGGCATAATTTATGGTTTTAGATGAAGTGCATAATTTCTGTTTCTGATCTATAACAGCATAAGGTGGAAGACACTCCTCAGCTTTAATTGTCGGAATCGCCTACTGCTGACTGGTACACCTATTCAGAATAATATGGCAGAGTTATGGGCTCTTCTGCATTTCATTATGCCAACTTTGTTTGACAGCCATGAGCAGTTTAATGAGTGGTTCTCTAAAGGGTATGTGTTCAATTGTATTCCTCATTAATGTCCATTGGACAGTTTTCCATTTAACTACATTCTTACAGTCTTCTCTGACTAATCACACACCAGAATTGAGAACCATGCAGAACATGGAGGTACTTTGAATGAGCACCAACTTAATAGATTGGTAAGTTTTCCTTTCCTGTTTGATATTCATAGTATGTGGTTAAGATTTATTACTAAATTATGTTGGATTTTTTTATTTTTTTTGTATGTTATATTGGAATTAAAGGGGGCGAACCGGAGTAGTGGTAAAACTATTCCTTCATGACTGAAAGGGCATGGGTTCGAATCCAGGAAACAGCCTCTTTGCAATTATGCAAAGGTAAGGCTGCGTACAACGATTTTCCTCCACCCCACACTCGCTAGTCGGGTTTAACGGGGAGTGGTTTTTTTATGTTATATTGGAATTATTAATCAGAAATATTTTAGGCATATATTATTTAGGCCTTTGCTGTGTAGCCTTTGTTGTGGAATGAGGAGGGATTGCATTGGGTTTTGGGTCGTTACAGGTTTGCGTTAGGATAAACTATTATTGGTGGCATTCATGTTTGGTAAGTGTAAAGAACCAATTCAACCCAAAAGCTTAATGATTTTATATATCTCAACATGCCTCCTCACACGAGAGCCCACTGGACTTGAAGGGTGGACAATGCACAGGTCCACCTACCTGTGCGAAGAAAGAAATTCCACTAGAAAGAAAGTGGGGGGCAGTGAGGATCGAACTCGGTACACCGAGGCTCTGATACCATGCTTAAGCTTTTGGGTTGAATTGGTTCTTTACATGGTATCAGAGCCTCGGTGTACCAAGTTCGATCCTCACTGCCCCCCACTTTCTTTCTAGTGGAATTTCTTTCTTCGCACAGGTAGGTGGGCATGTGCATTGTCTACCCTTCAAGTCCAGTGGGCTCTCGTGTGAGGGGGCATATTGAGATATGTAAAATCATTAATATAGCCTCACCCAACAGCTTAAGCTTTTGTGTTGAATTGGTTCTTTACATGATATCAGAGCCTCGGTGTACCGAGTTCGATCCTCACTGTCCCCCACTTTCTTTCTAGTGGAATTTCTTTCTTCGCACAGGTAGATGGGTCTGTGCATTGTCCACCCTTCAAGTCCAGTGGGCTCTCGTGTGAGGGGGCGTGTTGGAATATATAAAATTATTAATGTAGCCTCATCCAACAGCTTAAGCTTTTTGGTTGAATTGGTTCTTTATAGTAAGAGTATTGAGCACATGCTTAATGTGCTTGAGGTTATTTGTCTCTGCCTAGTTGTAATACTATGTACTACATTGGTACTGCTAGTCTATTTTGTTGTATATAAATAGATACGCCTGCGCACCCACATTAAATAGGTTTCCAAAGCATCCCTGATTCTCACAATGTTGTTCATGCCTTTGTTGGATATTAATGTTTTATATTTGTTACATTCGTGTATACTTAGTTGATGTCTTGTGATACATGTTTCAGGGATGGGATAATTAAAGTCTCAACATTACATGTTTTATTGTGACCCATATTTTTATTATTGCTTCTAATTATTTTAAGCTGGTTTTTCTAAGTCTGTTATAATTTTTCTTTCAAGACTTTTTGACTTACCTTTTGCATACTCATCCAACAGCATTCAATTCTAAAACCTTTCATGCTACGACGTGTTAAAAAAGATGTAGTATCTGAGCTGACGAGGAAAACTGAGGTTATGGTACATTGCAAATTGAGTTCTCGGCAGGAGGCTTTCTATCAAGCAATTAAGAACAAGATATCTCTTGCTGAGCTGTTTGATAGTAATCGTGGGCAGCTCAATGAAAAGAGAATTCTGAATTTAATGAATATTGTTATTCAACTACGGAAGGTAGATTGATATTCCGTAGTATCCTTACTTTCTATCTCTTTTTTGTTATTTTAGTAGATTAAATTTTGTTTTAATTAATTCATTTTGAAATACAGATTTTTGTGTTTCAGCGGAATGAACCCACCCCCCTCCCATGCACATGCACACACACAACAAAAAAAAAAAAAGTTTGCCCATAATAAATATTGCTATTGAAATATGGTAGGTTTGCAACCATCCAGAGTTATTCGAAAGGAGTGAGGGAAGTACATACTTTTACTTTGGAGAGATTCCAAATTCTCTTCCACCACCTCCATTTGGGGAGTTGGAGGATGTATACTATGCTGGAGGTCACAACCCCATATCATATGAGGTACTTCCTCAAACCTTAACCTTATTAACTGTATCAAAAGTCAAAACATTCAATTTCATTAGTTTCTCTTCCTCTTTCCCCCTTTCTCATTCTTTTTAATTAATATTCTCTTCATATAGAAGCAAAAGTAAAATATTAAAGTGTGGTTGGTACCATAAGGATCAGGTTTTAAACAATTCTTAAAACCACACATGATGTTGCAAAGTATCGTTTAAACTCAATTGAAACTTATCTGCATCAATTCCTTTATTCTTCGGTCTTATTATCATTCCAATGAAAAGAACTTGTAATCTAGGGAATATTTGCATTATATAATATTCAGCCAATTTACAACCCAAACTATCTTTGAAGTCAAATCAAGTTCGTTGCATGATTGAGGTTTTTATTTTTATCCTTTTTTTATATTTTTGAAAAAGGTAACTCTGAGTTCATTTAGAATTTAGGACCTTGTTGCAATTTTGCTATACGTCAGTATATGTGGCTATTTGGTATCTTATGTTTTAGAAGGCCGGCATTTTAGTTATAGATTTATATTATACGACATTAGCTGAATATTATTTTTCTCAATTACCACTGGACATAGTTTCACCACAATATATAAACCTAGCTAAATAGTTACTTGCCTAAAATAAAGCCTAATATACGGTAACTAATCATCTTTCCCAGTAGCAGAATAATTTACAGTAATTACATGGAATATCACGTAGTGGATGTGAGGCTATTACAACTTACCCCCCTCCCTTCTCCCGGTCTCAAGTTGGTTTGATGGAAATCTATCATTTCTAACCTAGGAGTAAGATCTTGAAACCTCTCAATGGATAGTCCTTAATTAATACATTTCCCAACTAATAACCTGAAGAAACATACATTGTCATTATACTTATCAGTCCACTATCTTAATTCTCCGTGATGAAGTCTCGGTGTATGTGTTTTTCCCCCATCATTCGTCACAAAACAGTTTCATAGGAGGTTCATAATTTATTCAAAGGTGATGATAGGATCTTCATCCTTAATAACTCCCAAACTCCTTGTGTCATAGCTCAAAGTTCAATGCACTTAACTGAGCAACCATGTTCTGTTTGTTGCTCCTCTATGTTACTAGGTTTCCACCTAGAAACATACAATAACTAGATGTTGATCTCCTGTCAATACTTGAACCTGCATAATTAGCTTTTATGTACACTTACATGGATAGATTTCCACCCCTTATAATTAGTTATCCACTTTTGGCTGTGGTTTTAATATATTTAAGAATTCAGTCCACGTCCTGCAAGTGTCTTACTCTTGGGTCATGCTTGAACTAGCTAACACTATTGATAGTATATGCTAGATCTGGTCTGGTATGCGCCAAGCATATCAATTTCCTTACTAACTTTTGTTAAGGAGCTCTATCAACCTTGGGACTCTCCTCATCATTTCCCATTTCGTCATTTTGCCCAATGGGTACACCTATAGCCTTACACCCGAGCTTAGTGATCTCTTTGAAAAGATCATCAAGGACGTATATTCTTTGAGAAATAAAAATACCTTGCCTAGTGTAGGCAAGTTCAATTACAATTAGGTACTTAAGCCTTCCAAGATCTTTTATTTTAAATGTAGTTGCTAATTTTTTTTGTAGTTGTTTTTCAATTGATTCATCACTTGATATATTGATGTCGACAACATACACAAGTAGGACAATGAGTTTATCTTAGCTTGAATGTTTAAAGATGAGAGTATGATTGCCTTGACTTTGTCTTTGTCTTGGGGATATCATTATCTTTGTGAATTTTCCAAACCAGCAATAGGGAAAATGGTATAACCCGTATAAAGTCTCTTTCAACTTGCTTTCCTTATTTCTTCCATCAATGGATTCATATCCAGGGGGAAATCTCCATATAAACTTCGTCCTCCAAGTCTCCATGGAGAAAGTCATTCTTAACATCAAGCAACTGTAATTACTATCCGAAGTGGGCAATAAGGGAGAGTAAGATTCTCAGTGTTCATCTTTGCTAGTGAAGCAAATGTTTCCTTATAGTCAATTCCATTAGTCTGAGTTTGTCCTTTTGCAACTACCCTTGCTTTATACCAATCTAATGTACCACCGTACATGTATTTTAAGGTATATATATCCATTTCCACCCTATTGGTCTTTTGTTTCCTAGTTTCTCAATAGTCTCTCATGTTCCATTCTTTTCCAATGCATTTATTTCATTCATGGATTGAACCCAATCTGTATCCTTCAATGCATCTTGTATCGATGTTGTGATTCTGATAGAATTTATGGCTGAACTGAAGCTCTGATGCTATGAGGAAAGAGTTTTAGAAGAGACAAATTGAGAAATAAGGTAATTGGTACAAAACCTTTTCCTTTTCATTATTGCCGTCGATAAGTTATTTGGGTCAGGGTCATAGTTATTAAAAGGAATGTTTGAAGTATTAGGTTTGGGAACATGAGAACTAGTATCTTCGGTATATCATAGTTTCAAACATTTGAAATTGCTATTGCTAGAACATTGTAGAAAACCCGAGAGAGAAATGGATTGTATTTTTGTCCTTCTTCGAGGGTGCTACGAATGACTCGGGCCTTTGCTGGTAAGGCAATAGTTAGGATGTAAACCTGGGAAGTTTTTAACTCAATAGCAGATGGTTGTCCTATTTCATGGAGTAGGTTTGATGAAGATTGTCCCAAATTTCATGAGCGGTAGGTAGCGACATGCAATCTAGCTAACCTCCAGGGTTATAGAAATCCATAACCATGTCATGATGGATAAGGAGCTTTCGCTTTAATGTGGTTCAAATGACTTGGGCCCATTGTAAATAGTTTTTTCTAGTAAGGTGATAGATAGGATATTGAAGAAATCTTAGAACAAAAACTTAGGAAAAAGAGAGAGATAGCACACACAAAAGGCTGAATTTTTCATTGCACATTCAGTTCTACACCAGAATATTTATACAAGATGAGCATTAAATGCTATAACAACTAATCTGCCAACTAACAGAGTTAATGCTACTAACAACTAACGGAGTTAATGCTACTAATAACTAACCTGCCAAGTGCCAACTAACAACTAACACAATAATAAATGCAAAATATGATAGTTAGGCTGAACATAGCTTCCTAGAGAAGTGCATAAGAAAGTGGCAGACAACTAGGATGATTATGTTGACTTTAATATAGTTGAATATCAGCACTCCCCCTCAAGCTGGGCTTTATATGTTGATCATGCCTAGCTTGCTACTTAGCTCCTTAAACTTGACTCTTGGCAGCACTTTGGTTAGGACATCAGCCACTTGAGAATTGGAGGACACATGATGTAAGGCAATGATTTTTGCTTCTATTTTTTCCTTGATAAAATGTCTATCAATCTCCACATGCTTAGTCTTATCATGATGAATTGGATTTTTTACTATACCAATAGTTGCCATGTTGTCACAGAAGATTTGCATAGGTGAGTTGTGACAAAGTTTTAATTCCTTCAATAATCTTAATATCCACATTCCTTCACAAATTCCAAGTGCAAGAGCTCTAAATTCAGCTTCGGCACTGCTCCTTGCAACAATAGGTTGCTTCTTACTCCTCCATGTTACCAAGTTTCCCCATACAAAGGTGCAATAACTAGTGGTGGACCTTCTATCGATCACTGACCAATCTGCATCGGGATAAACCTCAACATCTCTATTGCAATTTTTGGAGAAGCATAAACCCTTCTCGGCGTATTTTTCAAGTACCTCAAAATTCTGTACACAGCTTCCACGTGCTTTTCTGTTGGTTTGTTCATGAACTGACTAACCACACTAACAGGGAAGCAAATGTCAGGCCGAGTATGGGTTAGATAGATGAGCTTTCCGACCAATCTTCGGTACCTGCTGATATCTACTAGAGGACTTTCTTGAGCCAGTCCCATCTTGTAATTGGCTTCGATAGGTGTTTCAGCATGCTTACACCCCAACATACTTGTTTCTTCTAGAAGGTCAAGAGTATACTTTTTTTGAGTTACCGAGATGCCATCTTGCTTCCTTGCAACTTCAATACCCAAGAAATACCTGAGTTGGCTGAGATCTTTAAGCTCAAATTCCTTTGCAAAGGATAATTTCAGCCTTTCTATTGCCTCATGATAATTACCTGTGATAACTATATCATCAACATACACAATCAAGATGGTTACCAGCTCATTTGGGCCAGACTTAATGAAGAGAATGTGATCAGTTTGGCATTGATAGTACCATTGGCCTTTTACAACTGTGGTAAACTTTTCAAACCATGCCCTTGGGGACTGTTTTAGGCCATATAATGATTTACGGAGTGTACACACTTTGTTTGGATTTCCTTTTGTATCAACTCCTTGAGGAACTTCCATGTAGACCTCCTCCTCTAGATCTCCATTTAAAAAGGCATTTTTTACATCCATCTGATATAGAGGCCAATTTGAATTCACCGCGATTGACATGAGAACTTTGATGGTGTTGAATTTTGCTACTGGAGCAAAGGTTTCTTGATAGTCAATGTCATGAGTTTGTGTTATGCCTTTTGCAACCAACCTGACTTTATACCTGTTAATACTACCATCAAAGTTATATTTTACAGTAAATATCCACTTACAACTAACAATTGACTTTCCGACTGGTAGGTCAACTAAGTCCCAAGTATTGTTCTTGTTGAGGGCTATTAACTCTTCCTTAATTGCATTCCTCCATTCAAAACATTTGATGGTTTCTTGGAAGTTGTTTGGAATTCCTCAGGAGCAACATTGATCACAAAGGCTTGCATTTGAGAAGACAATTTTTTATATGGCACATAGTTACTAACGGGATGTCTAGTGCAAGTTCTTACCCCTTTTAGGAGAGCAATAGGCCAATGCAAGTCATCTTCAAGATTTGGTGTAGGAGACTCGGATTGGCTTTGTCTAGGAGCAGGGTTGTCTGGCTGACTGATTGCTTCCTCTTTATAGGCTTCCTCTCTAGTTGCATCAATGGTTCTTGGTTCTTCTTGGTCATGAGTGATAAGAATGTTAGTCTTGGGTGGCATAATGGGGTTGGCTTCAGGTAGAGTAGCTGGGAAGATTGGCTCAGGTATGAAAGAGTTTAGGGTGCCTTGGTCTTCTATGGGAGAAACAATTGGACATTCATTTGGCTGTCTTGGATCACTCTTCCCCTTAATGGGCAATTTGTGATAATAGAATTGGGCTTCAAGAAACGTAACATCCATGCTGACATAGGATTTTTTGGTAAGAGGGGCATAACACTTGTATCCTTTTTGTGTAGGGGAATAGCTTATAAAAATGCACTTAATGGCCCGAGGTTCAAGTTTACCACCATGAGTAGTATTATGAACAAAGATAGTGCAACCAAAGACCTTAGGAGGGAGAGAATTTATTGGAAAATAAGGGTAAGTGAGAAGGATTTGTTGGATTGGAGACTTGAAATTTAATATCCAGGAAGGCATGCGATTAATGAGGTAGGCAACAGTAAGAATGACTTCACCCCAAAAATGTTTGGGAGTATTGGAGGTGAAGAGAAGGGTATGCCCAACTTCTAAAAGGTGGCGGTTTTTCCTTTCGGCAATGCCATTTTGTTGAGAAGTGTAGACACAGGAGCTTTGGTGAATTATGCCATGGTTGGTAAGGTAGGATGAGATGTTGGAATTAAAATAATCCTTTGCATTATCTGACCGAAGGACTTTAATTTAGGCCTGAAATTGAGTTTGAACCATAGAGTGAAAGGCTTGGAATGATTTAGACACTTCTAATTTAGAGTGAACATGTAAATCCATGTAAGGCGAGTGTGGTCATCAATTAAGGTTACAAACCAGAGAGCCCCATTGACATTTTCCTCATTGGCACGTCCCCATACATCACTATGGATCAAAGAAAATGGTTGAGAAGGTTGGTAGGCCTTTGGAGGATAAGTGGATTTAACATGTTTAGATATTTGACACCACTCACAGGTTGGAAAAGTCGATCTTTTATTGAATAAGTTCGGGTACATTTTTTTTTCCATGTAATCATAATTTGGATGACCTAATCAATAATGCCATAACATCACATCCTTGTCATTTCCAACAAGAGGCATGAGAACTCGAGGCGTCCAATTTTTTGCAGTGATTTGGTATAGACCACCCATCCTCCTAGCATTGCCAATCTTCCGCTCCCAAACCAAATCCTCAAAAGAGCAACCATTTGAGTTAAAGATGGCAACACATTGTGAGTCTCTTGTTAGTTGACTTATTGGGTAATATTTAACTCACCTTGTTTCAGGTCTATTAGAACCCCTTTAACTTGAAATAGAGCTACTGTGTTATCCTTCTTAGAGTAACCAGCCTTGACTCCATCCCAAATTTGTTTGGCAGACTTGCACATAATGTAGTTTTCTCCCATTTCAGCAGTCATGGAATTAATGAGCCATGACATAATGAGGTTGATTTCTAAGTCCCACTACTCATGTTTTGGATCGTCCTTATTGGGTTCTTTTATTATAGCGGTGAGATACCCAACTTTTCCTCTTCCTTTGAGGTGCATGAGAAACACTTCGAGACCACAAGTAGATTTTTCCATTGAATTATTGTCTAGTGATGATAAGAGATTGAATTTCATTTGAGATAGGAGATGGGTCTGTTGGGTTTAGTGTTTAGGATGTTGGGTTTAGTGTTTCATTGTTGGGGTTTGAAGTTTCACCATCAACATTGGTTTGAAGGGCTCTCATGGAGCCAAAATATAGTGTGGACATGGGATAGAGATGGTAGGCCCTCAAGAGTACCATGAAGAAATCTTAGAACAAAAACATAGGAAAAAGAGAGAGATAGCACACACAAAAGGCTGTATTTTTCATTGTAATATTCAGTTCTACACCAGAATATTTATACAAGATGAGCATTAAATACTGTAACAACTAATCTGCCAACTAATAGAGTTAATGCTACTAACAACTAACACAATAATAAATGCAAAATATGACAGCTAGGCTGAACATAGCTTCCTAGAGAAGTGCATAAGAAAGTGGCTGACTTTAATATAGCTGAATATCAACAGATATAAAACTGATAGATCATTGGGAGTGAGAGGCACCATGAATAAGTTCGACAGGAAATAGTATGAGTTGGTGTTCTCTGTGTCAAACATGGTGTTAGTGGGTCTTGGATTCCCAACACTGCTGATTTTGAGGAAGGGTATTAGAGTATATTGTAAGCTTTAGCTTAGCTTTTCTATATTTTAATCACTGGTGTATCTTGACTATTATATTTCTGGTTGTGTAGAATCTTTTCCCTTTCTGTTCCTTTTTAGTTAGTTTGTTAGAATATCTGACTCAGATCTGAGTCAGTCTTGAGCTCTATAAATAGAGCCTTCATGTATCACTTTCATCAGAATGTTGTACACATCAATAGAATGGGTTTTTCATCTTCTCTCTCTTTGCTCTTTCTCCTCAAACTCTGATATGGATCAGCTACTTAGCGGATATGAAAGAGGAAGATATGATGTTTTATTGCTATTTAACAAGAACGTGAACAGTGGATTGGGTTATGGTTATGAAGAATGAAGGACAAAGATTGTTACATCCCCCATATTATTATTCTGACAGATTGCAAGATGGAAATAACAACACAAGGAAAATGAATACAGTACACCGTTTATTTAATTGGATAGTACACAATACAAAGAGGTATTCCCTCCCAAGGAGCACTCTCCTCAGAAATTATTCTCAGCCTTGACTTCTATCATGAACTCTCTAAAAACTATCCCTAACTGAAGACATGTCCTCTTATTACAAATCCATAACTGTCCCTAACCTACATCCTATGTAGAAACTGTCAAACTATCTTATCAACACATTGTTTAAAATAATAACTAATACACTAACTGTCTTAGCACATACGGCCTACTAACTAATGCATAAACTTACTCCTTATTCCTTTATTTATTTAAACCTCCTATTGTAAACTTTAAAAGGTTTAGGCCCCCTAATTCCTTTATCCATATTAAAGATCATATAGAGTCAACTATTGCTATGTCATGAAACTCTAATAATCTCTTCCAGCTAAGTATGAAATTGGTTTTTCCTTTGTTTTGTATACCTACCCCATTAGGTTAATAATTTCTTCTTTTTCTGATTATCTGTTACTCCCTCCCTTCAACGGCCTTTTGATTTTTGCAGATACCAAAACTTGTCTATCAAGAGATTATGCAAAGTTCTGAAACTTTCAGTTCCACTGTTGGTCGTGGTGTCTGCAGAGAATCTTTTCAGAAACATTTTAATATTTTTAGAGCTGAAAATGTTCATCAATCTATCTTCTCAAAAGATATGATTGTTAAAAGTGGAACTTTTGGTTTTGCCCATTTGATGGATTTGTCTCCCCCAGAGGTGACTTTTCTGGCAACTGGTTCTTTTATGGAGCGACTATTGTTTTCTATGATTAAATGGGAGCAGAAGTTCCCTGATGACATTGTAGACTTTCTCATGGAGACCATAATAGATGATCCTGAATGTAGTTACCTTGAGAAAGGTAAAGTGAGGGCTGTTACACGAATGTTATTGCTGCCATCAAGATCTGATTCCAAGTTTCTTCAAAAAAGATTTGCAACTGGGCTGGCCCATGCTCCTTTTGAGGCCTTGGTCATCTCACATCAGGATAGGATTTTATCTAACGCAAGACTTCTTCACTCAGCATACACATATATCCCACCGACTCGAGCTCCCCCAGTATGTGATGTTACTTTATTATCTAATCTTCAGTTATTTCCTCCATATCAGTTGCCTTTATTGTTTTCCAAAACAATGATTAATTGTCGTTCATGTTGCTTCTTTTATTCTTTATAGATTGGTGCTCACTGCTCAGATAGAAACTTCTCCTATAAAATGACTGAAGAATTACATTATCCTTGGCTTAAGAGGTTGTTTTTGGGATTTGCACGGACATCTGAACGTAATGGGCCTAGAAAACCTGCTCATCCTCAACAATTAATTCAAGAGATTGATTCTGAATTATCTGTTTCACAGCCTGCACTTCAGTTAACACACAGTATTTTTGGCTCATCACCACCTATGCGGAGTTTCGACCCAGCAAAGTTGCTCACTGTAAGTGTTGTTATTGTTCCTTTTGTTGTGTCTTCTTTATTCAGTGCACTAACACAAAGTGGTTTTCAACTATCACATTGAATTGATTACTTTTTGTTATATAATAAGGACTCTGGGAAACTTCAAACACTAGATATATTATTGAGACGCTTACGAGCTGGAAATCATCGCATTCTCTTGTTTGCTCAGATGACCAAGATGCTGAATATTTTGGAGGTATTGTTGAACTTGTGACAGTGTTGAACCTCTTGATATTGGTTTTATAAATACGATCTCTGGTTTTATGTCTGAATTTGTTCAAAGATGTGAAACATGGGTAAAGAAAGGGATAAAATTATTGTTATTTGAAGAGTCCCTTGTGTGAGAGTTCATTTCCCTTAATGGTTAGATGGAATTGGCTTGGGGAGATACCTGGAGGTTGCAATGTTTTTTTAACCGTTAAAGCAATTAAATGAGTTGAATGTGTTCTTTTTTAAAATATATTTGGGCCCTGGAGCTATTTGGGTGAGGTCAGTGATTTGGAATGGGAAACAGTCCTACTATGCTTGTGTAAAATATATTTACACAAGCAGCATTGTTCTTGTACTCGTGTTATTGCCTAGCTTTGATGGGTTTGTTTTACTGCTGACAATTGGTTTAATCTTTCTTAAAGGACTACATGAACTATAGGAAATATAAGTATTTTAGACTTGATGGTTCATCTACTATTCAGGATCGCAGAGACATGGTCAGAGACTTCCAGCATAGGTAATGTCTTTGTTCTGGTCAGACTACTGAACATGATTTGTTTCTTTATAAACTTAAAAGTTGCTCTTAATATCTTCGTTGTAGGAGTGATATTTTTGTGTTCTTACTGAGTACGAGAGCTGGTGGATTGGGTATCAACTTGACAGCTGCCGACACAGTCATATTTTATGAGAGTGATTGGAATCCAACATTGGATCTACAGGCAATGGATAGAGCTCATCGTTTGGGTCAGACAAAAGATGTTAGTTCCATCTCTCTCTCTCTCCCTTCCACCCCATGTGCATAGATTTGTTAATTTGATGAATGCCATGTTGCATGAATGTTTAAGATCTGAAGCTAATGATCAATAAGGATCTTCCTTCCTTGGATATAGGCACTGTAGTTCCTCGTCCTTGCTTTCGTTTTTTTGTCTGAATCTTTTTGCTTTAGTTGGATATAGCACTGAGGTTATAAGTGCTTGGTTCTGTTTTAGTTTGAAACTAATTTTGTAGTTCTTTTGAAACTTGTAGGTTACTGTTTACCGACTTATATGTAAAGAGACAGTTGAAGAGAAGATTCTTCTTAGAGCAAGTCAGAAAAGTACTGTGCAGAACCTTGTCATGACTGGTGGTTCTGTTGGCGGTGATCTCTTAGCTCCTGAGGATGTTGTATCTTTGCTTCTGGATGATGTCCAATTGCAACAGAAATTAAAGGAAATCCCTCTCCAGGTTAGTTGTGAATCTAGTCACCCAAAATTCATATTGTTAGGAAATTATAATTTTCTAATAATTATTGTGGGTCACATATTATATTAATAATTATATTGTGCTATTTATATATATTGGGTAAATTAAAGTGATCAGTTAAATATTCTCAAATAGATTCCTAAGTGAGTATGGGCTGAATGAGTGGATACCGGTGTTGGGCCAACTAGGTATAATGGGAGCTTATTGGCCCAACAATAAAGATAAAAACACTATAAAGGGTTATGGTCCCCAATACGTCAAATGAACAACCCTAGTTTCTCTTCCCCATCAAGAGAGAGACGGCACACTAAGGAATAAGGTTTTAGGGTGATTTGACTGAGGAAGACTACAAACCCCAAGAGACAAGATTAAAGATATTCCGCTGCAATGGAGACAGGTATGCCTCCACCTTTATGTTGTTCTTATTTCTTTATGATTTGGTATGATGGATCTTGGCTTGTAGGTGATAGTTATCACCAAAAGGTTTAGAGGAATTAAAAATTCCAACAATTAGTATTAGAGCCATCGTCATATTGAATTATGAGGGAGTTAAGTTTTGTGATTTTTATATATGATTAATCATGAAGAGTTTTGCTTTATTGTCTTTTGGCGTAAAGTTTATTATTTTTTGAACGTGGGTTCCATCTTATGTATTTTGTATTAGCTATGTAGTGTTATTTTTGTTCCCTGACGGTGATTTTTTGGTTTTGGAACAAAAGCTACATTTTTTTAGAAAAAACTAGGATTCACAGTTTAATAAGGGTTTATTATTTAAATTTTGAATCTGTGAATAGATGGAATGTTTGAAAGAATTTTGGCTTTATAATCGATGAGGTTTTGTTGTTTGAATTTTTTGAATAAACAATGAATTCTCTTAGAAAATTTTGGACTTACGGTTTTGAAAGAAATCAAATGTTTAAGGTCTTTGGTTTTGGGGTTTTCCTTATATTTGATATTCTTTGTTAAAAGCTAAATATAATTTAAATTTTTGGGTATTGTGCATCATTTTCAAGCTTTCATTTGAAAAGGCTTACATGTGCGTCGATTGTGCATTAATTTTTAAGCCTTATAATGAAAAGGTATTTATTGTGTGCATCATTTTCAAGCTTTCATTTGAAAAGACTTACATGTGCGTCGATTGTGCATTAATTTTTTAGTCTTATAATGAAAAGGTATTTATTGTTATTGATATAATGATAAAATGATACAGTATGTATATTTATATACATTGAGAATTGATAAAGAATAATTTTCTTTATCGTTGTTATTTTATTTTTAAATGTGTTTATTATCCCTAAAAGTTTCTATTTGAAATTGAATATGATAGATTTGTTAGCCGCCACAGTGGCCAAATTTATAAAGGTTAATTTGATTTCAAATAGGTTGGTCATATAAATATATTTTATCTATGCAAATAATAATCGGCTCACAGGAAGGTTATTGTTTTGCCAAATAACATATGTTGTGTGATCATGTGTATGTTTATTGCTTATGCGGATAGTGATCGGCCCACAGGAAGGTTATTATTTGGCCAAGTAACAAACATACCTGTGGTAATAAATATGTGACAATTATCAAGAATTCTCCATGTAATTCATAGTCGGCCCACAGGAAGGCTATGATTTGACAGGACTTATTGTCAATGTTTGATTACTACATTAAGAGTACCACTTACAAGTTGATATTTTTGTCCACAGACTAAATATTAATGTTGTGCTAGGTATCTTATAATAAACTCATTTTACTTCAGATTAGTTGTCTATATCATGTATGTTTGAATATATATGATATGACATGTTATTAGTATGTTATCTTTTTTGTTCTCTGTATAGTTTCTGCTACCGCTGCCAATTATGTTACTCAACTGAATATGCTTCCAATGCTTAATGGGGCAAATTTCAAGCTGTGGAAAGAGAATGTGGAAATTGTTCTCGGCTGCATGGATCTCGACAATGCGCTAAGGACTGAGAAACCCACTTCCACTCAGGAAAATCCAAACACGGATAAAATTGAGAAGTGGGAACGCTCAAATCGCATGTGTTTGATGATCATGAAACGTTCCGTTCCGGAGGCGTTTAGGGGCTCGATTGTTGAGACTACTAATGCCAAGTTGTTTCTTAAGGAACTCGAGCAATACTTTGCTCGAAATGAAAAAGGCTGAAATTGGTCAAACCTTGTCCAAACTCATAAACATGAGGTATAAAGGAAAGGGAAACATAAGGGAGTACATTATGGAAATGTCTAATCTTGCTGGAAAACTAAAGGCATTAAAGTTAGAGTTGCCCTCTGAGTTGCTCATGTACTTAGTTATTATCTCTCTTCCTGCACAATACGGTCAATTTGTGGTGAGTTATAACACTCAAAAGGAAAAATGGACTCTTAATGAGCTCATTTCTTACTGCGTGCAAGAGGAAGAGAGGTTACAGCGAGAGAAGACTGATAGTGCTCACTTGGCATTAACCTCTCAAGACAAGAAGAGAAAGAGAGCTAAGGATAATGCAGATGCTTTTCCAAAGAAGCAAAATAAGCAGGATCAGGAATTCACCTGCTTCTTTTGTAAGAAATCTGGACACATGAAGAAAGAGTGTTCCAAATACAAGGCATGGCGCGAAAAGAAGGGTATGACTCTCACTTTAGTTTGTTGGTACTGGTTCTATGGCACAAGCGTTTAGGTTATATCTCTAAACAGAGAATTCAGAGGCTTGTGACTGATGGAATTCTTGAACCCCTTGATCTGGGTAATTTTGAGGTGTGCATTGAATGCATAAAGGGGAAACAGACAAACATAAGGAAAATAGGTTCCAACAGAGCTTCAAACGTCTTAGAATTGATTCATACGGATATTTGTGGACCATTTCCTATAGCCTCTTGGAATGGTCAACAATACTTTATCACATTCATAGACGACTATTCAAGATTTGGATACCTATATTTGATTAGAGAGAAGTCACAATCATTGGATGTGTTCAAAGAATTTAAAGCTGAAGTTGAACTTCAGTTAGGCAAGAAAATTAAGGCCATTAGATCTGATCGTGGTGGTGAATACTATGGTAGATCTGATGGATCAGGTGAACAACGTCCAGGGCCCTTTGCGATCTTCCTAAAGGAGTGTGGAATCGTCCCGCAATACACAATGCCAGGTAAACCTAGCATGAATGGTGTTGCAGAAAGGCGAAACCGGACTCTTAAAGACATAGTGAGGAGTATGCTTAGTCATTCTTCATTGCCATAATCACTTTGGGGAGAAGCACTAAAGACTGCAGTTTATATCCTTAATAGGGTTCCCAGCAAAGCAGTGACAAAAACCCCTTATGAGCTATGGAATGGAAAGAAACCTAGCATAAGGCATTTACACATTTGGGGTTGTCCAGCAGAAGCGAGGCCTTATAGGCCAAATGAAAGAAAGTTGGACTCAAGAACAATCAGCTGCTATTTTGTTGGATATGCTGAACGCTCTCGAGGCTTTAAGTTTTATAATCCCACTACAAGATCCATTTTGGAGACGGGAAATGCCAGATTCCTTGAGGATGTTGAGTTTCGGGGGAAGATAAAATAAGGAATGTTGTCTTTGATGAGGAAGAAAATTATATTTCTCTTCCTAATATTGTCATCATTCAAGATGCGATTACGGAACAAGCAATTAATGATCAGGTCCCTGTCCATGACATTGTTATGGAACAGGCTTTGGTCCCTGACATTGCTTTGGGTCAAGACAATAATGAACCACCCCATATGCCACCTATAGAACAAACTCAACAAACTCAAAATGGATATTTAAAACCAAAAGGGATTCAAATGGCAACATCGAAAGATATAAGGCACGTCTAGTTGCTAGAGGTTTCACTCAGAAAGAAGGCATAGACTATAAAGAAGAATTTCTCCTCCGGTTTCTACGAAGGACTCCTTTAGGACAATAATGGCGCTTGTGGCTCATTTGGATTTGGAGCTACATCAGATGGACG